AGTGGAGGGGGAGGGGGAGTGGAGGGGGGGGAGTGGAGGGGGGGGGAGTGGAGGGGGGGGGAGTGGAGGGGGGGGGGAGTGGAGGGGGGGGGAGTGGAGGGGGGGGAGTGGAGGGGGGGGAGTGGAGGGGGGGGTGGAGGGGGGGGGAGTGGAGGGGGGGAGAGTGGAGGGGGGAGGAGTGGAGGGGGGGGAGAGTGGAGGGGGAGGAGTGGAGGGGGGGGGAGTGGAGGGGGGGGGTGGAGGGGGGGGGGAGAGTGGAGGGGGGAGAGTGGAGGGGGGGGAGAGTGGAGGGGGGGGGGGAGAGTGGAGGGGGGGGGGAGAGTGGAGGGGGGGAGAGTGGAGGGGGGGGGAGGTGGAGGGGGGGGTGGAGGGGGGAGAGTGGAGGGGGGGGGAGTGGAGGGGGGGGGAGTGGAGGCGGGGGAGTGGAGGGGGGGGAGAGTGGAGGGGGGGGAGAGTGGAGGGGGGGGGGGAGTGGAGGGGGGGGGGAGAGTGGAGGGGGGGGGAGTGGAGGGGGGGGGGAGAGTGGAGGGGGAAGGAGGGAGGGGGGGGGGGGAGAGTGGAGGGGGGGGGGTGGAGGGGGGGGGGGAGAGAGTGGAGGGGGGGGGAGAGTGGAGGGGGGGGGGGGGAGTGGAGGGGGGGGGGAGAGTGGAGGGGGAAGGAGTGGAGGGGGGGAGCGTGGAGGGGGGGGTGTGGAGGGGGGGGGGGAGAGTGGAGAGGGGGGGAGAGTGGAGGGGGGGGGAGCGTGGAGGGGGAAGAGTGGGGGGGGGAGAGTGGAGGGGGGGGCGAGTGGAGGGGGGGGAGAGTGGAGGGGGGGGAGTGGAGGGGGGGAGAGTGGAGGGGGGGCGGTGGAGGGGGGGGGTGGAGAGTGGAGGGGGGGGGAGCGTGGAGGGGGGGGGAGAGTGGAGGGGGGGGAGAGTGGAGGGGGGGGAGAGTGGAGGGGGGGAGAGTGGAGGGGGGAGAGTGGAGGGGGGGGAGAGTGGAGGGGGGGAGAGTGGAGGGGGGGGAGAGTGGAGGGGGGGGGAGAGTGGAGGGGGGGGGAGAGTGGAGGGGGGGGGGAGAGTGGAGGGGGGGGGGAGAGTGGAGGGGGGGGAGTGGAGGGGGGGGGGAGTGGAGGGGGGGGGATGTGGAGGGGGGGGGAGAGTGGAGGGGGGGGAGGGAGGGGGGGGGGAGAGTGGAGGGGGGGGGAGAGTGGAGGGGGGGGGAGTGGAGGGGGGGGGAGAGTGGAGGGGGGGGAGAGTGGAGGGGGGGAGAGTGGAGGGGGGGGGAGAGTGGAGGGGGGGGGAGAGTGGAGGGGGGGGGAGAGTGGAGGGGGGGAGAGTGGAGGGGGGGGAGTGGAGGGGGGGGTGGAGGGGGGGGTGGAGGGGGGGAGTGGAGGGGGGGGAGTGGAGGGGGGGGGAGAGTGGAGGGGGGGGGAGAGTGGAGGGGGGGGGGAGTGGAGGGGGGGGGAGTGGAGGGGGGGGAGAGTGGAGGGGGGGAGAGTGGAGGGGGGGGGAGGTGGAGGGGGGGGGAGAGTGGAGGGGGGGGGAGAGTGGAGGGGGGGGGAGAGTGGAGGGGGGGGGAGGAGTGGAGGGGGGGGGGAGAGTGGAGGGGGGGGGGGAGTGGAGGGGGGGGAGAGTGGAGGGGGGGGGAGAGTGGAGGGGGGGGAGAGTGGAGGGGGGGGGAGAGTGGAGGGGGGGAGAGTGGAGGGGGGGGAGAGTGGAGGGGGGGGAGAGTGGAGGGGGGGGAGAGTGGAGGGGGGGGGAGAGTGGAGGGGGGGGAGAGTGGAGGGGGGAGAGTGGAGGGGGGAGAGTGGAGGGGGGGTGGAGTGGAGGGGGGGAGAGTGGAGGGGGGGAGAGTGGAGGGGGGGGGAGAGTGGAGGGGGGGGGGAGAGTGGAGGGGGGGGGAGAGTGGAGGGGGGGGGAGAGTGGAGGGGTGGGGAGAGTGGAGGGGGGGGGAGAGTGGAGGGGGGGGGGAGAGTGGAGGGGGGGGGGAGAGTGGAGGGGGGGGGGAGAGTGGAGGGGGGGGAGAGTGGAGGGGGGGGGAGAGTGGAGGGGGGGGAGAGTGGAGGGGGGGAGAGTGGAGGGGGGGGGGAGAGTGGAGGGGGGGGGAGAGTGGAGGGGGGGGGAGAGTGGAGGGGGGGGAGTGGAGGGGGGAGAGTGGAGGGGGGGGAGAGTGGAGGGGGGGGGGAGAGTGGAGGGGGGGGGAGAGTGGAGGGGGGGGGAGAGTGGAGGGGGGGGGAGAGTGGAGGGGGGGGGAGAGTGGAGGGGGGGGAGAGTGGAGGGGGGGGAGGAGAGTGGAGGGGGGGGGAGAGTGGAGGGGGGGGAGAGTGGAGGGGGGGGAGTGGAGGGGGGGGGAGAGTGGAGGGGGGGGGAGAGTGGAGGGGGGGGGGGAGGGGGGGGAGAGTGGAGGGGGGGGGGGTGGAGGGGGGGGGAGGAGGGGGGGGGGGGAGAGTGGAGGGGGGGGGAGAGTGGAGGGGGGGGGAGAGTGGAGGGGGGGGAGAGTGGAGGGGGGGGGGGAGAGTGGAGGGGGGGAGAGTGGAGGGGGGGGGAGAGTGGAGAGGGGGGGGGAGAGTGGAGGGGGGGGGGAGAGGAGGGGGGGGGAGAGTGGAGGGGGGAGAGTGGAGGGGGGGGAGAGTGGAGGGGGGGAGAGTGAAGGGGGGGGGGGGGAGAGTGGAGGGGGGGGGAGAGGAGTGGAGGGGGGGGGGAGAGTGAGGGGGGGGGAGAGTGGAGGGGATGGGGAGAGTGGAGGGGGGGGAGAGTGGGGGGGGGGGAGAGTGGAGGGGGGGAGAGTGGGGGGGGGGAGAGTGGAGGGGGGGGGAGAGTGGAGGGGGGGAGAGTGGAGGGGGGGGGGAGAGTGGAGGGGGGGGAGATGGAGGGGGGGGAGAGTGGGGGGATGGGGAGAGTGGAGGGGGGAGAGTGGAGGGGGGGTGAGAAGATTGGAGGGGGGGAGAGTGGAGGGGGGGGAGAGTGGAGTGGGGGGGGAGCAGTGGAGGGGGGGGGAGAGTGGAGGGGGGGGGAGAGTGGAGGGGGGGGAGAGTGGAGGGGGGGAGAGTGGAGGGGGGGGAGAGGGACGGGGGGGGGAGAGTGGAGGGGGGGGGGGAGAGTGGAGGGGGGGGAGAGTGAGGGGGGGGGTGGAGGGGGGGTGGCGGGGGGGAGAGTGGAGGGGGGGGGGAGAGTGGAGTGGGGGGGAGAGTGGAGGGGGGGGGGAGATTGGAGGGGGGAGAGTGGGAGGGGGGGGAGAGTGGAGGGGGGGAGGGGAGGGGGGGAGAGTGGAGGGGGGGGAGAGTGGAGGGGGGGGAGAGGGAGGGGGGGAGAGTGGAGGGGGGGGAGAGTGGAGGGGGGGGGAGAGTGGGGGGGGGGGAGAGTGGAGGGGGGGGGAGATTGGAGGGGGAGAGGGAGGGGAGGGGAGAGTGGAGGGGGGGGGAGAGTGGAGGGAGAGTGGAGGGGGGGGGAGAGTGGAGGGGGGGGGAGAGTGGAGGGGGGGAGAGTGGAGGGGGGGGAGAGTGGAGGGGGGGGGAGAGTGGAGGGGGGGGGAGAGTGGAGGGGGGGGAGAGGGAGGGGGGGGGGAGAGTGGAGGGGGGGGGGAGTTTGGAGGGGGGGGAGAGTGGAGGGGGGGGGAGAGTGGAGGGGGGGGTGGAGGGGGGGGGAGAGTGGAGGGGGGGGAGGAGAGTGGAGGGGGGGGGAGAGTGGAGGGGGGGGGGAGAGTGGAGGGGGGGTGGAGGGGGGGAGAGTGGAGGGGGGGGAGAGTGGAGGGATGGGGAGAGTGGAGGGGGGGGGAGAGTGGAGGGGGGGGTGGAGGGGGGGGGGAGAGTGGAGGGGGGGGAGAGTGGAGGGGGGGGTGGAGGGGGGGAGAGTGGAGGGGGGGGAGAGTGGAGGGGGGGGAGAGTGGAGGGGGGGGAGAGTGGAGGGGGGGGGGGAGAGTGGAGGGGGGGGAGAGTGGAGGGGGGGGGAGAGTGGAGGGGGGGAGAGTGGAGGGGGGGGGGGGAGAGTGGAGGGGGGGGGGAGTTTGGAGGGGGGGGAGAGTGGAGGGGGGGGAGAGTGGAGGGGGGGGGAGAGTGGAGGGGGGGGTGGAGGGGGGGGAGAGTGGAGGGGGGGGAGAGTGGAGGGGGGGGGAGAGTGGAGGGGGGGGGGAGAGTGGAGGGGGGGGGTGGAGGGGGGGAGAGTGGAGGGGGGGGGGAGAGTGGAGGGGGGGGGAGAGTGGAGGGGATGGGGAGAGTGGAGGGGGGGGAGAGTGGAGGGGGGGGTGGAGGGGGGGGGAGAGTGGAGGGGGGGGGAGAGTGGAGGGGGGGGGAGAGTGGGAGGGGGGGGAGAGTGGAGGGGGGGGGAGAGTGGAGGGGGGGGAGAGTGGAGGGGGGGAGAGTGGGAGGGGGGGAGTGGAGGGGGGTGGAGGGGGGGGATGTCGGCCCCCCCACAGCCTCAATGCAGAACCCATCGACTACCCGAACGACGACCTGTAGTGCACATAAATGCACGAGATTGCGGCTTATCGCCACACCAGTAACCCCTCACCCCGAGCATAACCTTAAAAGCCCTAACTCAACCCTAAACCTCACCCATAACCCTACCATCACCACTCGTCCTCCAGAACTCGCAGTTATACAATGCAGTAACTCCGCTGTACAATACGATATACGGATACGTGATGGCCTCTGGCCAGTACTGCAAGCTATACAACACATGGTTGAATGTATTCGAGTGCAGCGTAGTGCGTTTATTTGGGAATTGGCGACAAATGTGTACAGTGCAACACCTGCGACGATTGCGGGCATGAAAAGTGATCGTAAAAACGCGAAGTTCACTCGGCGCGTTACGTGGCGTGAGCATCGCAGACAATTGTCACCACGAAACGACATACGACGAGGTAATCACAAAGTCGAGTCGATTCCCCCTTGGCGAGCAGGATCGATCGATCGATTCCCGCCTCCGAGCGTGTGGTGGTGGAGTCGACGACCTCTTTACTATCCGATTCGATTCCCACCTCCGAGCGTGTGGAGGAGTCGACGACCTCTTTACTTGCCGATTCGATTCGATCCGGCGGCTTCGTGGCGGCGCGCGGCGGGAAAGTTGAGCGCGAGACGCGGCGATGGCGGCGCAGGAGCAGCAGCAGCAGCAGCAGCGGCGGCTGTTCTGCAGCGCCGTGTCGCTCCTGTTGAGGGCCAAGGACTGCGACGACAGGTAAGGAGAAGGAGGAGGAGGGGGGATGAATGACCGACAGGTAAGGAGGAGGAGGAAGATGGACCGACGGTCGATTTTCAACCGTTTCGAAGCACAAACGGGCGGCATGCCGATGGCAACACTCGCGCATCTCGGCAAGAAGACGATCATTGTGTGTTCCCTCCCTCCCTTCCCCCCCCTGGTGTGTGATTTATTAAACGGAACTGAGTGAACTTGCCGATGTCTGGTTTGGCATCGGCTGCGTAACTCTGCGTCTAAGCTACCTGGCCTGTCGCTCATTACAAAGCTTTGGATTTTCTCGGCAACAGCTGGGCACTCGCCTGTCTACTCCTGCGAGACTTGGAGCTGAGTGGGCTTGCCGACACCAGCGGGGTCAACATCGGCCTCTGTGGTGGAGGAGGAGGAGGAGGCTCGTGAAGGACGCAGCTGCTGCTGCTGCTGTTGTTGTTGTTGTTTGGCGGGTGGAGGCAGCAACAGGGGGGGACGCCAGAGGTCGCAAACGGGTTTTGATTCCTTTACCCCAGGGGTCGGGAGCCTTTTTGACCATAAAACCCAAATATTTCTAAATATATTGCGTTGAGAGCCATATAGTATTTTTAACGTATAATACATTAAATAGGTATTACTTTTAATGCGACTTTTGGTGCTGCGTGGTTTTGCTGATGGCCTTGTAGTCTGGTTCGTACGTGGTGAGGTTGAGCTTCATGCAGGCGTTGTTGACCCGTGAAATTTATCTTCAAAACTAATTTCTGTTTACTTGAAAATGACACAGTATTATTAAGCAATATCACAAGTATTTTAAAATCAGTTCCAAACTGATTTTTGTATTTTTTTTCAACTCAAAATTGTCTGGGAGCCATATGCCGTCACCAGAAGAGCCATTTATGGCTCGCGAGCCATAGGTTCCCGACCGCTGCTTTACCCGATACGCGGCTACCCTCACAGCGAGTCGAGTGGCGGGTGGATGAAATACAGCAAATTGTCACAGTAGGGGGCACAGGTGGTGTTGCATCTACCTGCGTTTAGTTCTCCTCCCCCGGCACCTCCGAGTTGCACAGTTGGTTACGTGTACTGTGCCTGTCATCTTAGTCAACCCATGCCACCTTGGCTCTGTCCGGTGACCTGTTCGCTAGCCTTCGACACCTGCCGTGGCCCCAAAGTGCGCCTGGCCTGGCACCATCATCACTTCGTGACGAATGGTGGCTGTTTTTTAGTTAATTTGTTCTCCCCCTGTTTTGCATGGGTGGCATCTAAATTATCCGGTTTCCTCCAATATCTAAAAAACAATGTAACTGGTATTGGCCCAACAACCCAGTGCTGCAAAATGACCTGCAAATTACTGTACTGCGAAAACTAATTAGGCAGAGGACAAGTTTCTTACTAATAACTGAGGTAAATTTAGCAGTAATTATTGGTCTTGGCTCCATTGTTATTGCCATTCGTTTGTTTTGTAATATCAGTGTAATTATGTCAGCCTGTATCTGACGCATCTATACGTTCTTGGCTGATATAGTTATTACAGTATAATAATGTTAGCAAAAGTTTACGTCATTTGTTCTTAATATTAACATGCCATTGATGATGTCATTTTTGTAGTTGATATATTTTCTGATTTATTATGGTTTATATTTAAGTGCAGAAGATTGCGAGTCTTTGGATCTCTATGAATATATACCTGAGGCCGTTTGTTACGTTGATTTATTTAACAACTAAATGTGACCGCATCTCAAGACTCTGCACAGAAACACTGAACATATGTATTTTATCTAAATAAGAAGTTAGTCAAATGCAGAGGAGAAGAGTATAACGTCTTCAACCTGGACTTGAACAGGAGAAAGGGATTCAGGAGCACCTTGCCATCATTGGCAGCATGAGAGTACTGTTACGTTTGTGGGACAACATTGTTGTCTGTTTGCTGTTGCATTCACGGCCCACGTCCGGCATGTGTAGATTTGATTGATTCTCATCACTGGGGTCCACAAGTTCAAATGTAACCTCGTCAACCGTGTGGACGGTGAGCGGTGCAAATAAAACACCCATCAGACACCGCTGGATCACGCCCTACCACCAAATCATGATCCACAACCACTCCTGATGGTCCATTATTCTGCACCATCTTGGATGGAGAATATTTGTTTACAGGTCTAAACGAGGTGTGATGGCAGGGTCAAAGCTAGCTATAGGGCAACCTTTGTTGGAAGTAATATCAATTGTATCGACCCTAAAGTGATAATGGGCTGAGTCAACACCCAACGCTGAACCACCTGGCAGGACCGTGGAGATGGCGACAGCCAGGGGAGGCATTCGTCTAGCAGTGGATTGAGTCTGGCTGATGATGGTGTAATAAAGGTTAAATTATATGTTTGCTTAATTTTCTCGTGTAAACAAAGGAAACTTTTACTGCTTTTTAAGAACAGTCAAAGTTCTTCTTGGTTCTTTCGGTAAAGTCACGTAGAAGGGAAGTAATAAAATAATAAAAATAAAACATAATAAAATAATTCTCACGACGTTTCGGCCACAACGCAAGCAGCCATCCTCGGGTGAAAACCAGGTCTGTCGTGGAGACAGCGTTTCACCTGAGGACGGCTGCTTGCGTTGTGGCCGAAACGTGAGAATTGTTTTATTATGTTTTATTTTTATTATTTTATTACTTCCCTTCTACGTGACTTTACCGAAATAACCAAGAAGATGAATCCCTGCAGTCACGAAAGCTTTAAATCGAAATTTAACAGTCAAAGTTGTCCAAGTGGTTTAGGAGTGCTGCTTTGCCCCCAGTCATGGCTGTCGACCTTCAATACAATTTGGGGAGCTGCCGCCTTCAGGTTGTGTATTTAAGGAGTACAAGTTGAATGTGTGCACCCATGCAATTAATTTATGGTTTTGATTGTGTGTCCACTTGTGTCGATATGTACGTGTATCATTTGTACAAGTGTGTTCACGCGTGTTGTTGATTCATGTTTTGTGTGTGGATAATGTCTGTTTTATCTCCTGCATTATGTGTGTATCGTGTATATCTATTGTGTAACGTTCGCTCTGTCATGTCCATTTCTGTCATTTGCTTTATGTTCACATGGGTGCATGTGCGATTTAGGAGAACAGACATCAGAGTAACAGTTGAGCTGCAGTCCGTTGCCAGCCCAATCATCAAGAAGGTGGGTAGGGGATCTGGACTGTGAATCGTGGTTCGTTTTTTTGTACTGTTTGCTGTAACATGCTGACCAGCCCCTACTGGACATCTGTGAAGAAGAGCTTAATAGCTCTTCGGATTCCTCCAGTCTAAATAAAGATCCTGATTAAGTTTATTTTGTTTAACAGGTTGAGATTTCAATCTAGATGGTCTAATTTGCAAGTGACAATCAGACCAAAAACAACCTAATGAAATCAGAACAAAATATAAATCAGCAGAGCATACATTTTCTGCCACAAAACTTCGTGGACAAATTACTTTGAAAAACCATAGTCAAATGAAGTTATAGAAACATTAAAATGGAAAAAGGGTGATTATTACACTAGCTTGTAAACAGACAAGGACATCTAATGCAACTAACAAGTGAACGTTACAATTACCCAAGGGGGGACTCAAACCCACAAACCCTGGCATAGGAGGCCTGTACCTTATCTTTTAGGCCAATGTGACTTCACACCCTCTGGTCCACAAAGGCCTGTTTTGATGGCCTGTCATTAAACATTTACAGTGACAGAGTGATAATTTTGAAACAAGTTAATTGGTGCACGGTGGTCAGCTAAACATATTTTAGGGTTTATATTGTCCGTCAATTCAGAAAGTTTGGGAACCACTGGTCTTGTCGAATAAACGGTATACTCTGTGTTATGAATCTGCCCCCTCTATGGTTTTCTCCTATAAAATAGAATATATTCTGTGTAAGGTAATATCTCCCCTTGGAACCTTGCATCTTCTATGTAAGAGGGTATCTCCATTTCTGAATCCTGAAGTTATCCCCTTTGTAAAATAGTTAACTCAAAGCAATGTCCTCAAGTTATCTGGATTGCAACTCATTTTATTAACCCCAGAGGGATGATGGGCTGAGTCAACCCCCAACCAGGCTGTGGACTTTCTGGTTTTAAGCTGCTTGATCTACCATTGAGCCACCTAGCACAAGAGATTATTCCATAAAAACTTAATTTATTCATAATATTTTACTGCCTTTGTAATTACAGTGCACCAGGTCTCCCCTGAATCTGTCAGCTTAAATCGAGGATGCTGTTTAACAAAAATGTGAAATATTTCGTGTCATGCATCGCTTGTGACCTGATGCGGTTGTGACCTGCACCCTCGCAGGATCTCACAGTGAGGCTAACAGATGACACGGACCCTTTCTTCCTCTATAGCCTTCATCTTGGAGATGAAGACTTCCAGAGGTACCTCACCACACACTCTCCTCACCCGATCCCTCACCCCTATCCCTTAACTCCTCACCCCTATCCTCTGTTTGTTGCTCTGGTCTCTATTTGTTCATTGCGATATTTTATGCTATGTTATTACACGATTTATTTTAACTCACTCTGTCTTGTTGTTGTCGTTGTTGTATCCTCAAATCGTGTAACTCAATTTTAACTCACTTCCCAATGTGGTATCGACTGCAAACTTGGTATACTTATGTATACTGATGACAATACTATATTATATCATAAAAAAGAAAAAAAATATTTTAAAACATTATTTTTTATATGTTATATTTCGGCTTGGGTCTAATTGTCCACGGTCAACTGACGTTGGCTGTATTGGCCACGGTCCCTTACGTTATCGCAAGCTTCGGGGCCACTTCCTGGAGTCGTGGAGTTCTTCCATTACTAGTACATTTCATAAAAGCGTGTAAAAAAAAGTAAAATAAATATTATTTATTTATTTGGTAATTTTGGTCATCCAGGTTCATCTTGCAAATTAGACTATCCTGGTCTCTTGAGTTTTCATCTGGTTTAACAAAATCAACTTGAAACTTAATCCAAAATCAGAATCTATATTATCCTGGATAATTCTCTTTTTCACAGATGTCCAGTAGTTGTAGGTCAACAATTTACAAGATACAATACAAAAAACGATAGGAGTGCAAAGTATAGGAAAGGTATGCAAATCACTAAAAATAAATAAATTAGATAAAGTACATAAGTTCAAATTACATAATTACACCAATTCCCAAACTTGGGCAAGGCAGCAATAGAACAGCAAAAATAGTCCCAGACCACACGAAGCCATCATACAGTTTCTCGACAAAATTGCACATCATAATTAAAATGAATAACACTTTTCAAATGCAGTTGTATCCAGCACTAATCTTCTGCTTCAGGATATTTTTTGAAGGAAGATTTACGATGTTAAGGGAAGAAACAAGGTTGTTCAAAAAGTGGGGTAGGAATAGTCTGTGTGCTTTATTATTTTGGTGTGTATTTTTGCCCATTGCGTGTTGGCAGCTCACTGCAGTTGCTAAGCGACAGCCTGGTCACCAATAGCCCAAATCCTTGCCCTTATGAACCTGCCCACACAACCATAACTTTGCTCAGTGATGCATAGTTCACTCCTCAGTTTTTACATGAGCAGGCATCCATTGCACCCGGCTGTGGCTGACCAGCATGGTGAAGTATAAGAATAAAACTCAATGCATTCGTCAACAATACTGCTTGAAAGAGTATATATATTTATTTTCAGGAAGTGTTGTTGAAAAGTGTAATGTTTTATTTGTTGTGCTTGTGTACCACTGTCAGCGCAGCATAATCAAGTAATTTATTTCGTGGTGAAGTGTGGTCAAATAATCCCTATGACCGATATAATATGGGAAGGCCTCCATCCAGCAATAGATTGACAAAGGGATGCAAACTCTAATGACATCAACAGTAAATTTGACTGGCTGGTCCCTGGGCATGCACAGAAAGGACGTGGTGACCATTAGCGTGCAGGACAAAAAGTGGGTTGCCGTCATTTCTGTGTAGTATACTGCATTTTTATTCTCCTTGCGTGTGTGGGGTTTATAGAATTTGTAATTCGCATGTGTTTTGCACAGAGGTTCTGGAAACCACAGACAAGTGAGAAGACAACCAGATCCAGTGCCAATAAATATCCAAGCTCTGTGGTCCTATATTAGGATGTTTGGCCAACTCCATGAAGTAATGTTTATATGCCTTGGAGGAAACCCATGCATGTGAGTGGGGGTAACACTCAATCCCCGTGCAGATGGAAATGAATCCACCTGTTATATTGCCATCGAAAAGAAGTGAGTTTCACAAAATGTGATCCACTAACCCTCGCCTGCAAAATGTTGTACTACAGATGAGTTAGGTGACTTCTCACAGAAAAGTGCCTCCAAACCGCTGCATGGTGTGATGCTGGGCTTTGTGTGTATGTGTATATCCGTGCGGGCATGTGTGAAGCCTAAAGAGCCAGCAGGGTCTGCTCGTGGACTTCACATCCTTCCCGCAGAAGTTCATTGACCTCCTGCAACTCTGCATCCAGGAGCAGGACAAAGATGTGCCTCGGTATGTGGTGATGATGGCATATTGTGTTGATGGTGGGTGGTGGTAGTATATGATGTTGCTGGTGGTACTGATGGTGACGTGGTGGTGGTGTTGAACGATGCTACAGCTCGTGGTAGTGGTGCTCATAGTGGTAGAGATGGCATTGGTCGTCATGGTAAATGGTGGCTTTTTTATTTTAGTATGCATGTTTACCCAGGAAATCTGCATGGTGGTGGTAATGCCAGTGGGTGGTGCTGACAAATCACTAGCAGCAGTGGTGGATATAGCAAGGCTGGTTATGGTGTTGCTGCTGGTGGTAGTACTTGTGAAAGCATTGACAAACCGTTGTTGTACATGTGGATGTGCTACGCTGGTGACATTACGAAGGCAGCAGTGGTGAATGCAATGGGGCTGGTCGTGACACTAGTGGTTGGTGGCTGTGATTTTCTGGGAGGTGCGTGCGTCTGAGTCAGTGTGTTCACGTATGTGTGTGTTCACATTCACACAGGTTCCTTCTGCAGCTGCAATGCCCAGGTGCAGCAGACCGTGGCAGCACTGCCTGCCTCTCAGTGGTGGAGACGAACCCTTTCAAGCACTTGACGCACCTCTCTCTACGTCTGCTCTCGGCCTCCGACGGCGATCTTAAAAAGTACCTGGCTTCCTGCCTGCGCAGCCTCAAGGTGAGTTGTCTGCAAGCTGGGCAAACCCTTTCACTGGCCAAGCCTCGTTGCTACAGCCAGGCCGCTTGGTGGTTTTATAAGCCGAGTGGGTATGTCCATTGAGAGAACCTTAGTGTATTTGTACATACAGTATATACAGCACTCTGTGTCGGAGATAAAGCACCCTGGTGGTTTTAAGCTGGATAGGTACATCCACTGAGCAAGCTTCAGTGATTTCTTTACCAGTTGATACAGCGCTTTGTGGTGGTTTTACAAGCTGCATCGGTACATCCACTGAGTGAGCGTCAGTGTTTTTTTTTACCAGTTGGTAAAGCACTGTAAAGTGTGTTTACATGCTAGGTCAAATGTATTGACGTATAGTTCACCGACATGGCACCCCCTTCTACCGTGTTGGGCTTCATAAGTGTTTGCTAACAGCACTTGCCCGAACAGTGTGTAAGCTACATGGGAGATATTGGCTTTTGTTTATGAGTGTAGGTGAGGATGTGGGTCTATTTGAGCAAGTGAGAGTGTTTATGTGTACATTGGGAGTTATAGTGTAGTGGTTGGCACACTACGTAACGGACTTTGTGACAAGTAGGCAGTTTTGTCCAACCCGAGTTTGATTCCACCTCAACCCACATCGGTGACGAATATGTGAATCGTTTTTTAACCTTCCCGAGGTTGACTCAGCCTTAAATGAGTACCTGGTGTGGTGTGTGAACATCAGCAATGGGGATACAAAGGTGGCCAAGTGTTGTCTGGCCACACCACCCCCTCGTGTGCTGTGCTAGTCTTAATAGGTGCTCACGAACAGCACGTGCCCCAGCAGTCTGATAATAGTGGGTTTTTGTTGTAAGTATTGGTATATACTCGCAATTACGTTTATTAGACACCCTTGTAAATAAGATGTTTCAAATAGGTGTTTGCCAGTGAAACATTGTAAGAATAATGATTTTAACGTGCTTTGTTGCCTTTTAAAAGTTTTAATTATTTATTGTTAAGAATGAGAATGCTGCGCTGGAGACCAGGTTACAGAAAACCGAAGAGGACCTAACAAAGAGACTCGCCTATGCCCAGCAAGTGAGTTCTGTGTGTGTGTGAGGGTATATTGCCTTTCAATAAATAGATGCTTGCCAATGTGTTTATTATGCTATTTCGAACAACAAATATTTGCGTTTTCATGTATTGGCTATTCACGTTAGTTACTCATAATTGTCTCACTGATTATATTATTAGGACTTTATCAGGAGTTTCCTGCAAAGTTTTCGAAGAAGAGGACAATGTTTCTACGTGTAATTCTAGTTTTATTTGTAAGAAATGTTTCAACCTGCAACGAGCGGAGCACCGAGTAGCTAAAACAAAGTGGCACAGTGGGAAGCACAGGTGGTACATCCGCTAGTCATCCAAGTTAATCAACACATGACACCTGTGTCTGCCCCATGACCCCTGTCAGCGAAGCTTTGACACTTGACGTGGCCTCAAAGTACACCAAGCCTGGCACAAGTGCTGTGTTGACATCACTGAAACTTAATGGAAAAATGGCGGTTGTTTTTGTATGTCACTGTGCACACAGACCCTGGCAGAGCGGAGCCGTGAGCTGGAACGCGTGCGAGCTGAGTGGTCGAGCCAAATGAGCGAGATCTCCTCGCAGCATGGACGCGAGATTGCCACACAGAGAGACAAATTCCAGCAGGTGAGTCCCGGACAGCACCCTACATCCCCTTGCCTCTACCCATGTTCCTGCCTCTGCCTGTGTAGTACTGAAGGCGATCCGGAGTCTGAGACCAGGAAAGGCACCGGACAGAGATGATCTCCCAAGCGAAATGCTGAGGGAGGGTGGCGCTTGTGCACAGACTGCCCTATATGACATCATAACAACAGTCTGGACCGCTGGACGGGTACCGCAGGATTGGAAGGATGCCCTGGTGGTCCCCCTCTTTAAGAAGGGGGACCGCACAGACTGCAACAACTACAGGGGCATCTCACTCCTCAGTGTGCCGGGAAAGGTCCTGGCAAGGATTATTCAACATCGCCTTGCTAGGCACGCTGAGGAGAGGCTTGCGGAACCCCAATGCGGTTTCAGGAAAGGGCGGTTCTGTACAGATGCCATATTTTCTGTCCGTCTGCTACAGCAGAGGTGTAGGGAATTCCAACAAGATCTACATCTCTGCTTTATTGACCTGGTCAAGGCCTATGATACCATCAGTAGGCCTGGGCTCTGGGTTGTTCTTCGTGCTTTCGGAGTCCCTGACCCTCTGGTCACGATCATTAAGGACCTTCATGATGGTGAGTGGGCCCGGGTAAAACTACGTGGCCGGGAGTCGGAGCCTTTCCCTGTACACCTTGGGGTGCGACAGGGATGTCCTCTGGCTCCCACATTATTTAACATCTATTTCGACTGCGTAGATCGTGAAGCCTTCAATAGCTGTACCGGGGGAATTTCCATTTGGTACAGATATAATGGGAGGCTGATCGACGCCCGGGTGCGATCAAGGGATGGCTCCCTATTGGTCAACCACGTTATGTATGCCGATGATTTGGTAATAGCTGCTCATTCAGAAGAGGAGTTGGAGACGCTGCTGCTGAGACTGGAGCGTGCCACTAAGAGGTGGGGCCTTACCATCAGCCCCACCAAAACTAAACACCTGCCTGGGTATTTTGTACCATCGGACACTCCACTCCCACAACTCCCAATCGGTGATGGGGCAGTTGTGGAGAGGGTGGAGAGTTTCCCATACCTGGGCAGTGTGCTTATGACCGGCTCCAGTTTATCAGCAGAGATCTCACTCCGAATCAGTCGAGCGGCAATATCTTTTCATCGGTTGCGTAACGCTGTGTGGAAGCTACCTGGTCTGTTGCTCCGCACGAAGCTTCAGGTCTTCTCGGCCACGGTCATTCCCTCCCTTCTCTACGCTTGCGAAACGTGGACCCCCCTAATGGAGCATCTTCATCGGTTGGAAACATTTAGGCTGGCCTGACTACGATCCATCCTGGGTTTAACCAGGCTGGATTGTGTGAGGAGCTCACAAATCCTTGAAAGATCTGGGCAAAGTCCCATCGGTGAGCTCCTCTGGCAGGCAAGGCTGCGTTGGCTGGGTCATGTAGCCCGCATGCCCAGCTACCGCATGCCTAAACAGCCTTTGTTCGGCCATATTGAGGGGGCTAAACGGGCGCGGCACGGGCTAGAGAAGAGATGGAGTGATGTGGTACAGGAGGACGTGGAGCTGAGTGGACTTGCCGATGACTGGTACCAGCGGTGTCAAGATCGGCCTCAGTGGAGGAGGCTCGTGAAGGACGCTACTGGGCAGTTGGAGGCAGTCGCCCTCCAACAACAACGGAGGGCAGAGGAGCGACGCTCACAACAACGAGCGGAGCGCCGGGTGGCTAAAGCACAGCGAGTTGGTACAGTAGGGGACACAGGTGGTGCATCAGCCAGTCATCTCGGTCATCTCGGTCAGTCGACCCGTGGCACCTGCTGGGTCTGCCCCGTGACCTCCTGCCAGCGGGCGTTCGACACTTCACGTGGCCTCAAGGTGCACTTGGCCTGGCACAAGCGTCGTGGTGACGTCACCACCACTTAGTGGCGAATGGCGGTTGTTGTTGTTGTAGTGCTAATACTTGATCCAAGGGTAGAAACACTCACGTGATCCAAGGGTACAGTGTCAGGATAATGTCACGAGGAAAGGGGGTGAGAGGTAACGTCACTGGGAAAAGCGGGAGATCGGGACGCTTCTTGGAGAGGAACGGAGGAGGGTGGACGCGTGCGGCGTGGGCCTGCACAGAATAAAGAAAAGTGCCGACTCTCAATCTTCGTCTGGTGGATTCTCTACACCTTTATATTTTGCCCATATGCCTGTATGCCTCTGCATGTGTCTACCTCCCTGCCTATCTCCTTGCTTCTGCCCACCCGCTCATCCAATGTCCTGAGTAACCAAGTAACTGAACTGGCACCCCCACCTCCACCACCTCTCATTGCTAGGTGGAGGAGGAGGGCCGGCGCCGGCACGAGGAGGAGCGACGCGAACTGGAAGCCGAGCAGCGGCGCTTACGCTCGCAGCTGCAGCAGCGGACGTCGCAGGCTGAGGCCTCTGCACGGGACGCTGCCGAGCGGCACCGAGCAGCTGACACGGCGCTCAGGGATGCACGCACCAGGATCGGTGCCCTCGAGGAGGTGAACACGGGAAGGGCATGGGGGACATGGGGTTGATAAGTGGACCTTTCGTGACACATTGTCATTTTGGTGACTCGGGTCACTCTTGCAAATGAGACTATCCTGGTCTCTTGAGTTCTTACCTGTTTTAATTAAAATACGTTTGAAACTTGGAAACCACACTTGTCGGAGTCTCTAGTCACAGCCCAGACCCTCACCCACGTGTTGTTGGTTGCAGCCGTGACAATGACGACGCTGTCCCATTTTCCTTATTATCGCCGATGCAGGAGAGTGCTCGCGTTCAGCAGGAGGCAGCGTCGCTGCGCCGTGAGTCTGGCGCACGTGAGTCTGAGCGTCGTGACGCCGATGCAGCGTTGGCGGCCCTGCGCTCGCGTGTGAGCTCACTCGAGCAGGAGGCGAGAGACAAAGAGCAGCTGGTGCAACGCATGGGGCAAGCGCTCGACACCACGCGGCAGCAGCAGGTGGCGCCTCACCCACTCTACCTATACACGGCAGGGTGGTGCAGCAAGATGTCTTGGATTCAATTCCCGACTCAGGCGCCTTTCTGCGTGGAATTTGGTTGTACAGGCATACCTCCTATAGCGCTCAGGATGCGCTCTTGGTAAACTGAGCACTATGGGAGGTCATTATAACATTGTTCAAATGGAGATGCTTCTGTCCGCTATTTTTTACCTATGAGCGATATGAGGGTAATACAGTATCGGTAATAACCTTAATGATACTGTATTCTTTGGGTCTTTCGGTAAAGTCACGTAGATAGGTAAAAAAAAAATACAAAAAACTATGACGTTTCTATTGCAACACAAGCGTTCGTCATCAGGAGGAAAAAAGAGAGCAAAGCTGCTGAGGCAGACTGTTTTGCCTCAGCAGCTTTCCTCTCTTTTTTTGTTATTTTCTTTGAACCTATCTACGTAACTTTACCGAAAGACCCAAAGAATACTGTATACATGATATATTAAAGCATTCTATCAATTAAAATAAAAACTTTTCATGATTACATGAAAAAAATACAATAAGTTCTGTACTCGCCAGTGCATTCTATCAGAGCTTGCTTAAGATTAACTACCATCTGCCGTAAACAGGTTCTGCGGGAAGCTATACAGGACTAGCCAATGGGATTACTAGATCCATGGATCACCAATTAATCGATGCAGTGATTGACACTCGATGAATGGATACTCTAGCGTGGCTTTCGGATCGACAGAATTTACAATAGACACCGATTTAGGTTCCGCAAGACCACATATGGGCAAAAACACATCTACTTTATTCCATATATGGGCTGATCCGCACAGGAATTTTCATCTAGGCCAAAGCGTTGAAGGAAATAGCGTTATAGGAGGCAGCACTATAAGAGGTATGCCTATATGTTCTCCCATTGTGAATGTGCGAGTATAAAAGTGTGAGTGGGTCCTTTCTACTGACATTTCCTTTTAAATATTCAAAATGATTTGCTGAAAAAAATATCTGCCCAGATGAACATTTCCACAATCAGCCCTGAACTAATGGTGGGAATTACATATTTCTATAGCAAGGGTAAGTATCCATGATATAGCAACTTGTTCCAGAGGAGCCCTCAATGTTTTGTGTAACAAGCCTCTCATTCGATAGACAGAGGGAAGGTTATTTGTACTAAACACGTTGTTGTGTCATGCTCAGAAAAAGCTGGAGGAGAGTTTGGATGAGAAGCAGGCGCAGGGGGGAAAGCTTGAGACAACCATCAAATCGCTCTCCGAGGAGCTGCTCAAGGTACCTTCCTGACCCTCTGCTTCTGTTTCCCCTCCCTTATCCAAAAAATGTTCACCCGATCTGCCCACATTGCTCTGTAAAAGGGTTGATATGTAATTTGTGTAGAAATACAATGATAAAAACAGTTGACAAGCCAGCTAATGCGCGTCATGTTGCAGTCTATGACGACGTTACATCCCATGCGCTCCCTGTTCACTCACTCGCTCACTCAATCATCCGTTCACACACCCACTCATTCAATCACTCACTCACTCATTTGCCCACTTGTTCGCTCACTGCTCACTCCTTCCCCCAGGCAAATGACATCATCAAGCGTCTACAGGCCGAACTGAAGGCCCAGGCGGGCAAAGTGCGCCTCAAGAACGCCGTCACCACACAGCAGGAGAAGCTGTTGGCGGAGCGTGATGCCGGCCTCCAGCGCGAGCGTCAGGAAACCGCTGAGCTGCGTATCGCGCTGTGCAACAAAGAGGAGCAGGTGCAACCGTGGGGCGGGTGGGTGGTTTTGTGGGAGTGGGGGGCATGGAGGTGGAAGCACGAGGGATGCTGACCAAAGTGTAGGGCACATTGTGAATCAACTACATTCAGCAGGAATGCAGCAACAACTCATGCAGCTCTCACCTCAAGCCATCACGTGGTTTTAAATGTTTTATTAAGTTGCTATTCATTCTGCCATAAGCAAGTGGAATAAGAAGCACAATGGATTGGGCATTGCTGTTACCATTGAGCCAGTTGAGCATAGCCCTGAGCAATGAGTGGCACAGGGTGGTGGCAGTAGTTGGGAAATTTTTAGGCACTGAAGGATCAAGGGGGGCCTTACAATGGGGAGTCTTGGCATAAGAGTGGCGACAATGGCTTGACACTAGGATATTATCAAGGTAGCACTTGAGGCATCGCCATTAGGGCAGCACGAGGGAGATAGATGCTCATGAGCTGATGGATGTTTGTGCTGAGGGTCGATGGGCATGATATGTTGATGACAACCTCTTCCGTGATTGTGTGATTGTTATTGTTACCCCTGTTCGTGTGTGTGCATGTGCGCTTGTGATTAGGCTGCAAAACTGAGCGAGCAGTTAGAGGCGACAGTGGAGAAGTTGGAGGAAAGTAAACAGCTACTGAAAACCAACGAGAATGGTGAGGAGAGTGCCCCAGACATGCCAAAGAAACACGCTGTCGCCTGTCATGTAAAACCCTCGCACACGAGTTTATATATAAAACCAGACCCCCCCCGTATCGCCTTAACAGACTTTTTGGGCAAGTGCTGCTAGCAAGCACCTAATGAAGGCCAGCACGGCACACGAGGCGGTTGGGTGGCCAGCACCACGCCCCAGTACTGATGTTTACACACCATACCAGATACTAATTTAAGGCTGAGTCGACTTAGGGGAAGCCCAGGATAGATTCAGATAATCGTCACTGTTGATAGCCGAGAGCAGGAATCGAACTTGGGTCCCCGGGTTTGCAGCTCAGCGTGCTAACCGCTATACTACCGCTCCCCACAAGTGGGAGCTGGACTAACGCACACACCACTTACATGCAATTAACCACGCCTTAATACAACAACAGCCACCGTTCACTAAGTGGCAGTGACATCACCACAGCACTTGTGTCAGGCTGATGCATTTTGACGTGATTACATGAAGGATTAAAGGCTTGCTGGCAGGTCATGAGACGGACCCAGGTATTATGGGTTGACTGACTGAGGTGACTGGCAGATGCATCAACTATGCTACCCACTGTGCACCTTGCCCCATTGAAACCACCCAGTGCTCTGCTCGTGAGCATCTCTAACACACACTTGCACAAAATCACACAAGCGCATATGCATGTGTGCTTCGTATCACATTATACATTGATCGGGTGCGTGTGTTTGCAGTCGTGTCGCGGTTAGCGTGCTCTGCTATGAACCCAGCGACCCTAGTTCGATTTTGACTCATGTTCAACACCAGTGACGATTATCTGGAGCAGATCCTGGGCTCCCCTAGGTCAACTCAGCCTCAAATGACTACCTGGTGCAATGTGTCAACATCGCTTCTTTTGAGTAAAAGGCAGCCGGGTGTGGTTTTGGCCATCTGCCTCATGTACTGTCCCAGCCTTCATAAGTGCTCGCTAACAGCACTTGCCTCAAGAGTCTGTTAAGGCTTTATGGGGGATATTTTTATTTGTTCCTGCTGAGATTCATGCCCTGTGTCCCCCGGCAGTGATTTCATGGCTCAACAAGCAGCTCAATGAGAACCAGAGCACTGGCGTGGGGGGACGGGCTGGGGCCAGGGAGCGGCAGAGAGACGACGACACTGCCCTGGTGTACCGCCCAAGCCACCCAGCTCAGCCCCCGGCCACTTCGGTGAGACAAAAACACATGACGTAAAATCAACCATGTCAAGAGGTGGTCGTGTGGCTGGGAGACTCTGAGCTGAGCTGGCACTGCTGAGGTCCTGGCTTATACAAAATGCAACAGACTTCCACAAACACCTGGTTTTTATTTCACTGGCGAAGGGTGTGTTTGATGTTTGTTTGGGCAGAACGTGTTCATTATATTATGGGATTAATTAGTATGTCTGATGGGTGCTTGTTCCAACCTCCAACTAATTTTCTTCCTTTGTGAATGTGTCTTTTTATAAAGATGGGGTCTCCACTCACAGGCTTCCAAATGCGGAACTTCACCGTCAAACACAGGGTAAATACTGCCTGCTGCAGCGTGCACCAACTGTGCTAATGACTCCTCCAGCACGATGTTGGTCCTGTCAGTGATGGTAGTAGTTATATTGATACAACTAGTAGGGCTGTGATGCTATTATTGAAAGTAATGGTGATACTCGCTGTGTGTGCAGCCTGGCGCCCAGATGGTCACCACAAGCACACCACTGTTGGAGGCGCCTTCTCACGGAGGGAGTGGGGGGGTACTCCCTCTCACAACGACGGCCCCCCTTTCTGCCTTCCCTAGCCGAAAGTGAGACATTACCCCCATCCAGCCAACCAGTCATTAAATTGAAAAGTCAGTCTGAGGAACCGAAATTATAAAGACAATAACATAAAATAATGTACAATCATGAAATAAATGTATTCAGCAAAAAATCAGCCCAATAGAAATCCGAGCAAAATCAACCAATCAGAAATAGACGACAAAATATAAATTAATATTAAATCAAACACATTTCGTGTAACGAATGTTGACTCAGACAAATAACTAGAAAACCATTTGAAGTAAAATTAAGGGACAGAAACATTTAATGTTATTAGGGTGGTTATTGCACTAGTTTATGAATGTAGAGACAGGTAAAAGTCCAGATGATGAATTGTTTATCCTCATTCCCTATGTTCTCACTCCCCCTTGTCCCATTTTCTCTCTCCACTGCTAAGCCTGAGTGACCCAGTCGGCCTCGATGCCAAGTATCTACAACGACGTGACGGTTCTATTCCTGTGCGGGGGGTGACTGGTGGGTGTCCTCCTCTATTTACCCATCTTTATTTTTTCATATCTCTCTCCGCATTAAAGCAATTTTTTAAACACATTTTATACAGTGAGACAATTATGGGAAGGATGCGTATTGCCCATTTATTTTGTTATATTGTCCACAATGACACTCAATGATTATATTGTCATGTATTGTACGGTTTTGCTTCAGACCGGGACACCCATTTACGACAGTGAGGGCCTTTGCCTATAGAGTTCACAATTCCTTCAAGAAAACCTGACTGCTTATGAGACACTAAATGTCAAAATCGGTCCAGAGTTTGTCAAATCAATGTTGCTGAAATTGTTGAATTTCTTTCGTACTGTATCTAGCCAACCATGCTAATCGTAGCCAACCGTGCTATGTAGAGAGACTCATATGGGAATTAAACTTATATTCTTTACAAAGATCCTTTTCTCCCTCTGGCCCTTCACCAAGGTAAACCTTTTGAACTTCTCATGTCATCTTTCCCTTTGTTGTGCAGGTTTGGCCATGACCCGTCCAATGGCTCCGAAACCAGGACCTCCTCCACCTTTGTCTTCCTATTTCCCAGCAGCAGCTACCACCACCCAGCAGCAGCAACAGCTACATTTGCAACAGTCAGCATCCTGACATCTCTGTGCCACTGACACATAATTGATGCACAATCTCGCAACTGGGTGCTGTGTTGGCTCGCTCACTCCATCCATTCCACAAGTTAGAGAATCGTCGTCTCTATCGGACACTAATGTGTTGCTGGGAGAATTTTTCCGGTTTTTGTTTTCAGTTGGCTCTGCCAGTTGGTGGTTGTTTATTGGTCGCCCGGAGTGAGACGTCCGTGAAGGAAAGGAATGCCTGAGGAAAGAGCAAGTGTCGGGTTTTCAAGTTGTAGGTTTATTTTGTTTTATCAGGCGATAACTCAAGAGTGACTGATAAAAAGAATTACATAAAAAAATACAGCAGAGCAAAAACAACCAAATAGAAATGACAACAAAAACCATGTTACAGAATAAATCAAACAGTGCACAAACAAAAATTGTTGGATTGGACAAGTTATTTTTTAAAACACTCAAGGTAAAATTGCCCAATGCTGACTTTGTGTACATCCTTAGCTTGGTGAAAATCTGAGCAGTACTGGTTGAAACAAGGAGACACGAACCTTCCTGGGATTGAGAATTCCGGTAGCGGAAGAGGGTGGTGCGTTGCTTAAATTGTGAGTGGATGATTCGTTGACGGGTTTTGTTTTATGTTAAATACCTGGCAGATACAGTGTATCCCATAACTACATAGCCATCCTTGCACCACTATTCATGATGTCCACAATTCTAGGCGCGATTATTTTGCCTGCATTTATAATTAAACATAATTTATACAAAGTACACTACTATCAGAATTTATACGGTGTAATGATTATAAAGCCTAAAAGGTAGTAAATTCCTCCTCGCGTGAGCAGAGGCGGTGCGCAACTCCTGTTTCCAGTCCTGAGTAAGCTGTGGAAGTTCCACACTCCTATGGCAAAAGAGATTCCATCTGACAACCACTGTTGCTGTCCCCAAAGAGTGGTACTCATTTTATAGACAACAGAGGGAAGATGCGCGAAGTCAACCACCAACCTGGATTTCCACTCGCAAGCTTCCAATTGCGAACAGCTCTACCACTGAGCTACCTGGCAAGTTATACATAGTATAAAAAATGTTCACGACTATACGTATGTGTGATTTATTTAAAGATCACATCTTTGAGATGCACTGTAGGCATTTTAACAATACTGTACTAAGATTTTAAATATTTACCCAAGAGAGACGCAAGACTTTTTAATATTCCACTTGTTAGCTTTCTGGTGTTTAGACTTTATATCCGAACACTTTTTATTTTAAGAAAGCTGGTGTAGCCTGAGAATACCCACATGTACCAGAGTAGGGCACACTCAATTTGGCTGCCCCAAAATCTGTCATTAACCTGCGTGCTGTATTGCCTCCATCATGCACAATAACAAAAAAAACTAAGTGTACATGAGCATCTCGCCCTCGTAGTGTCCATGTTTTTCACCATGTAATTGTACCGCTTGTGTAATGAATGCACAAGCCGTTCTACTTTTTTTTTTTTTTACAAAAACCCTGCACATTTCACCTGCTGCCATCCTTCAAATAAGATTACGCCTCCACATGTATCCATTATTAGGCTTCAGTTCTGAGCTTTCTTGCATTTTTCAAAGTTGGCAACTGTAGCTGAAGGAATTAAGCAAAATAGTATTGTCTCCTGGCAATTGGTGTCGACTTGTGTGCTGTATGGAATATCACTTGGCTTGTAACTGCTTTATTTTGAAAATATTTTTTTGTCAATATAAAAGTGTATCGTTTTAATAATAAAGCACAACTGACTTACGAAAACTAAAGTAACCCTGGCTGAATGTTTCAAAAACAGTAAAACTATTAAATCTGTAATGAGTGCCATGAAGAATAATTAATATATCGCAAAAAAACTCGGAAGACAATACGCCTCTTCCTGGTATCCACATAAAAAGTACTATATGGGGCCGACCCAAACAATCGAGCCAATGCCGCCTTCATCTAACGGAGTCTTTACCGATAAACATCTGGCAGTTCAGCATTGGTTCAAAAAAGCCTGAAAGCTAATGGGGCACTGAAATATCGAAGCCAGTCCAGAGTTTGTGTTGAAAGAGTGCTGACTAATATTATGCACTCCCAGGCGGCCGTGTCGCCAATGAGTTGTGTAACAAAGAATTGGTTTGTTTTATGCATAGACACATGGGAAAGAGACATTGCGTATTTATTTTAAAGCCGTAAGTGCTTTTAAGGCGTGGTGTTGCCATGTGGCTGGCGTGGCGTGTGTTTGTAAAGCAGCTGATTGTGTTCAATGTAAGGCAGGTCTTCGCGTTTCTTTGAACAAGGCGAGAGCACATGGATATGTGAGGTTTATTACCTGTGTTGCAATGGAGATCGGGGAAACCCATAGTTACAGTGAAACTTACAGGCGTAGTGCTGTTGCATTGGGAGGATACGTAGGCTTAAAGGTTGGATGATAATTCTTGAAGATCGGTCTTCCGGAACGTGTATGCGTCTTCTTTGACAGGTAAATATTTCTGTTTTAATTTATTTTACACTGAAGCAACGAGTTAAATGGCATCGAACAATATTATTTCCAGAAAGACTAAAACAAATGACAGAAAACAATGCCCATCGGCTATAATGCAAAATAAATGCGCGTAGAACATAATGGAGCAAAACGCATTTCGATATCTCTATTAGTCTGTGGACATTCGTTTTTCTGTAAATAGTTTGGTTTTTCCTACGTATTTCAATGGGATTTAACTTGACTAAAAAGCATAGACGATTTTCATTTAAATGTCATTGTGTACATTAACGGCTCTACCCTGGTTAAATGAAACAAATACGAATGAAAATGTTCGTGAGCTCTCACGTGACAACTGCAAATTAAATTATTTAAGCATCGGCTATGAATATGATTACGCCCTTATGCAAAGTACATCGGTCAAAACAGACATTAACGGCTCTACCCTGTTTGAAAGACTGTCGGCTTATATTTTTAATATTGGACAACCTTTTTTTATTTAAATTTTTATTTTACCAGGTAAGGCTCACTGAGCTATTTACAGCGAGGGAAAAAAGTATTTGATCCCCTGCTGATTTTGTACGTTTGTCCACTGACAAAGAAATGATCAGTCTATAATTTTAATGGTAGGTTTATTTGAACAGTGAGAGACAGAATAACAACAACAAAAAATCCAGAAAAACGCATGTCAAAAATGTTATAAATTGATTGGCATTTTAATTAGGGAAATAAGTATTTGAACCCCTCTCAAAGATTTCTGGCTCCCAGGTGTCTTTTATACAGGTAACGAGCCGAGAATAGGAGCACACTCTTAAAGGGAGTGCTCCTAATCTCAGCTTGTTACCTATATAAAAGACACCTGTTCACAGAAGAAATCCATCAATCAGATTCCAAACTCTCCACCATGGCCAAGACCAAAGAGCTCTCCAAGGATGTCAGGGACAAGATTGTAGATCTACACAAGGCTGGAATGGACTACAAGACCATCGCCAAGCAGCTTGGTGAGAAAGTGACAACAGTTGGTGTGATTATTCGCAAATGGAAGAAACACAAAAGAACTGTCAATCTTCCTCGGCCTGGGGCTCCATGCAAGATCTCACCTCGTGGAGTTGCAATGATCATGAGAACGGTGAGGAAACAGCCCAAAACTACACGGGAGGATATTGTCAATGATCTCAAGGCAGCTGGGGCCATAGTCACCAAGAAAACAGTTGGTAACACACTACGCCGTGAAGGACTGAAATCCTGCAGCGCCCGCAAGGTCCCCCTGCTCAAGAAAGCACATATACATGCCCGTCTGAAGTTTGCCAATGAACATCTGAATGATTCAGAGGACAACTGGGTGAAAGTGTTGTGGTCAGATGAGACCAAAATGGAGCTGTTTGGCATCAACTCAACTCGCCGTGTTTGGAGGAGGAGGAATGCTGCCTATGACCCCAAGAACACCATCCCCACCGTCAAACATGGAGGTGGAAACATTATGCTTTGGGGGTGTGTTTCTGCTCAGGGGACAGGACAACTTCACCGCATCAAAGGGACGATGGACGGGGCCATGTACCATCACATCTTGGGTGAGAACCTCCTTCCCTCAGCCAGGGCATTGAAAATAGGTCGTGGATGGGTATTCCAGCATGACAATGACCCAAAACACACGGCCAAGGCAACAAAGGAGTGGCTCAAGAAGAAGCACATTAAGGTCCTGGAGTGGCCTAGCCAGTCTCCAGACCTTAATCCCATAGAAAATCTGTGGAGGGAGCTGAAGGTGCCAGTTGCCAAACGTCAGCCTCGAAACGTTAATGACTTGGAGAAGATCTGCAAAGAGGAGTGGGACAAAATCCCTCCTGAGATGTGTGCAACCCTGGTGGCCAACTACAAGAAACGTCTGACCTCTGTGATTGCAAACAAGGGTTTTGTCACCAAGTACTAAGTCATGCTTTGCAGAGGGGTCAAATACTTATTTCCCTCATTAAAATGCCAATCAATTTATAACATTTTTGACATGCGTTTTTCTGGATTTTGTTGTTATTCTGTCTCTCACTGTTCAAATAAACCTACCATTAAAATTATAGACTGATCATTTCTTTGTCAGTGGGCAAACGTAAAAAATCAGCAGGGGATCAAATACTTTTTTCCCTGTAGCTTTTTTGCAGAAGTGATGTGGACATCACAAATTATTAGCTCAACAAAGTGGCGTATTGTGTGAATATTTATAGGGGCCAAACACTATTAAATGCATGGAGGGAAAACCAGGAGGACCCGGAGAACTTAATCCACGAGACCACGGGGAGAACATGTACATTTAAAATACTGGACACTTTACAGAGGCGTCAGGGTCCGGGACACCAGTCGATGGAGTTAACGTCTCGCCACCGCGGCGCCCCACAGTGATGTACTGTCATATGTTAGCAAGCCACGTTTGTTAACACTCCCCCCCCCCCCCCCCCCACGGCTTCTCCTCTGTCCACCCAGCAGCAACTATCTAACTGGGTGCACCATAGTTGACAGGCAGGTCGCAGGGGCGGTTTCTTCATTAGGGCGATTGGGCGACGCACCACCAATGTCATTCAACCACAGAGTCACGCTAGCCGTCACTGTGCCTCTGGATATAGTCCAATCAGCGTCATGTCACGTTCTGTGGAGTACCGCCTCTTTTTGGGTGATTTCACTCCGGCTGAGAATCGCCCCGAGTGGCCCCATAGATTCATCTTCTTCCCTTCTACGTGACTTTACCGAAAGAACCAAGAAGATGAATCCCTGCAGTCACGAAAGCTTTAAATCGAAATTTGGCCCCATAGACTTACATTCAAAGATGTTTTTTTTCGAACGGCGGGCGCTCCAATGCATTCTCTATGGCTTCCGGGAGGGCTCGCCCTAACGTGCCTACGTCATCATACGTAAGCACGTTTCATCCAACAATATAATTTGTCGCCACCTAGTGGAATCTTTAATAAAATAAACTTGAGTGGTTTGTTTTCATAGTGAGTATAGAAACAAACAAGATGTATTGTAAGAGTCACTTTATTTTTCATTAATATTAAAGAAGTGAAGTTGCCTTTACATGCTTAAGCTGTTAATTTATCCATTGCATGGGTGGACCTTATCCTTATCAATCATCCAGACATTTGCCCCCCCTGAGAGATTTTGCAGGAGCCGCCACTGGCAGGTCGCCTGCGCTGGGGGTGGGGGGGTAAAGTGTTGGCCCTCCACGGCGTCCTGTCGGCGTACACGAGTTGGCTAAAATACCCTCCCCGAGTGGGGCTGTCGTTCTCGCCCCGATGGAGCAGCACCAGTGCAGGCCTGCGCCTCGACCTTCATTGCCAAACTCTTTGCTTATTTCGGTAAAGTCACGTAGGTAGAGAACCAAAGAGTATGGATCCCTGCAGTCACGAAAACTTCAAATCTTCATTGCCAAGTCGCGCCTGCCCCGTGGTGACGTCACGCGCATTTTATGAATGAAACCGCCGTGAAGCTCCGCGTCCTGCGATTGGCCTGTTGGATGTCACGTGACCTTCATTACATTTCGTAGCGCAGATTAGCCACCCGTGGTGATAGGCATGGCCCCGGACGTGTCACGTGATATGCCTTGCAGCCAATCGAGTGCGCGCGGGGGACGCCGATACATTGTGGGAAATACAATCGCCTCCTCGCGCCGTTGCCAGGGGCGAGACGTCAAACATGGCGGAGGCGGCGGCGCTGCTGTAATTCGCTTTTCTGACGGCGCAGACGGGGACGTTCAACTTGTCCTGTGCCATTACCCGAGATGTTCTAGCGTCGCCGGGAGCGCGGGGTAGGCTTCGCGAGTCGCCGCAAGCCAAGCAGACGTGCGTGAACCGGTGCGGCCAAGGCGTGCGTACCCACAGTTAACCGTTGTCGGATAGATTTCTTAACCCAGGCAGGGGCGACCTCGGCCGCAGGGAGAAGAAGGCCGCAAGAGAGTCGGTCTTCGGACTCTGAGCTTCACGGACGAGGTCGAGGAAAGGAAGACGACGAGGAGGCGCCATGGCTGATGAAAACGAGCTCATCAGCTCAGCGGAGATCATTAAAGGTGAATTGAGTTGCGCTGCATTGTTTAGAAACGATCGCATAGGTTCATGACGTCAAGTGGCCAGCAACAAGCAGCATTATCAATGTTGTGATAGATATTAGTTGACGCGTCTCATGAATTGAGCAAGGCTATTGTTGTAAGAGATTGGGGAAAAGAGATGATAGGATGGAGCATTGCGAAGGACACAGTGGAAAGAGAAGTGATGTGACTGCAGTGTGATGAGTTCGGTGGGTGAGCGAGTTGTTGTGACCTGCAGTGTGGATGAGATGAGATGTTGAGCTTCTTTCGCACCGTACGTATCCAACTGTGCTAATAGGAGGTGCAGCCATTACAACAGTATTCCAACATCGTAATACAGTATAGCCATTGCATTATAGGCCGGATGAGATTGTTGTGCAAAGCAGATTCATTTGCTGTATTTAAGAATAGCATTGTTAAATATAACGTGAGGAACTGTGTTATTCCCAATCTTGCGTGATGCTATGTAGGGGCGGTGACATGGTACTGCAGTAGTTCACCGCTTTTTGCAGAGTTTCACAGGTCGATTCCAGTAGCCGCCCTAATAATTAATGTGGGTGTAATAACCATGATGGTACAGGACATAATTTGCAAGAATAGCCTGTTTTGTGTCGCTGTTTGTCAACACGTACCAAATTACCTGTATATTACAGTACTAAGTTAGGATTATGCATAGCAATTATTGCTTCCTGCTGGCAGACAAACACCCCTGGTTACTTTTTAAAATGACTATCCTGATATATGATTGTCCTTGTCTCTTGAGTTACCACCTGGGTAAACTTAAGAAATCAACTGATATCATTGGCTGGCGTTTTTTGTATAGAACATGACCAGTATTTATTGTCACCACAGTCAAGTGGTGGTTCACAGTGAACATTCTACATTAATTCAACATGAAGCATGACGTTTACTGTCAACTACAAATGAGTGGACCATATTTTGATTGGAAGATAATAATTAATAAACAAGAAATTACGTGCATGGAGGAGAGTGAGGGGAGAGATAGGAGAGCGTATGAAGGGGCGTAGAATGAGATTAGAGGGGAGAGCTCGGAGAGTGCTTGGACGGGGTAGAGAGATGCTCGGGGAGAGAGATATGAGAGGGGGAAAGCAGAATAGTACGTGGAGGGTAGTTGAGAGATATGAAGGGAGGGGTAGGAGAGTGAGTTTGCCTGTGTGTGTATAATTTGTGTGCATATGTGTACAATGAGTGTGTGCGTGCGTGTGTGCGCGCGAGCAGACCGCCTGTACTTCAGCACGCTGCGTAGTAAGCCGCGCAGCACGGCGAACACACACTACTTCAGCACGGACGATGAGCTGGTCTACGAGAAGTGAGTAACTACTATGCCCCGCCCAAGGTGGAGGTGGTGCAATTGCACTGGAGCCCAGGTGCTGGCCTTCGGAGAGAGAGGAGGCAGACATTGGTGTGGGTGGGGGAAGGGGTGTGGGGGGGCAATAAAATTTGGGATGACTGAGTGGAGGTAAGGGAGTGAGTGGAGGCTGTAGGTAACAGTGTGTGTTGTTTTTGCAGCTTTTATGCAGATTTTGGGCCCTTGAACCTGGCCATGCTATATCGCTTCTGTTGCAAGCTCAATAAGAAACTCAAGGTATTGACCGGCACCTGCACATACATGTATACACACAGATGCACACACAAAGAAAACAAATATCCCTCTATAGCTTTAAAATACTTTTGGGTGCTGTTTATGAGCACCCATCAAGGCTGGTACTATCTTCTAGATTTTAAGCTTTCGTGACTGCAAAGATTCATGCTCTTAGGTTTTTTCCGGTAAATTCACGTAGGTAAAAATAAAACTAAATAATAAAAATAATAGAAATACAATAATAAATCACGACGTTTCGGAGGCAACACAAATCTCCGTCATCAGGTGGGACCGTCACAGCTAAATTTACTGTATCAAGTGAGGAACAATCCAAGAGACAAGCTAAGAGTATGCTGGTACTATGCACGAGGGGGTGGGTGGCCAGCACTTTGCCCAAATGAATTGACTTTCTGGATGCCCTGGAATGGTTCAGATATTCATCACGAATGTTGGCCCTGAGCAGAGATCAAACTCGGGTCAGTGGTTTCTCAGCACAAAGTGTTAATCGCTGCGGCACCATTCCCCACTCTCCACATACATGTGTGTGTATATATGTGGGGAGCGGTGACGCAATGATTAGAATGCGCGATGAACCCAGCGACTCAAGTTTTATTCCTGCTTAAGGCTACCATCAACAGTGGCTGTTATCTGAACCAGTCCTGGGCCTCCCCAAGTTTGAATCAGATGCGGTCACACTCCAGCTCTTATGTGTCGTTATGTGCGTGTCTGTGCATGTCTTTGTCTTTTTTGTAGTCCTTCTCTCTGGCACGCAAGAGGATCGTGTACTATACGGGGCCTGACCAACGCAAACGAGCCAATGCAGCTTTCCTCATCGGCTCTTACGCAGTGAGCTTCCCCCCCCCCACCCACCCCGCAGCACTCTCTAACAATTATATTCCCTCCGGTGGGCGGTGTGACAAGGTGTGACGTAGTGGCTATATGCCTGGTGATGCATTGATTTGGTGATGGAAGTTTGATTCATACACATGTCACATTGAGCGCCTAAAAGTTGGTTATGTGCGATGTATATAGCCGATTCGTTAACGTATTTTTTTACTTAAAATTTTCGTGACTGCAGGAATTAATATTCTTTGATTCTTTCGGTAAATTTTGATTTAAAGCTTTCGTGACTGCAGGGATTCATCTTCTTGGTTCTTTCGGTAAAGTCACGTAGAAGGGAAGTAATAAAATAATAAAAATAAAACATAATAAAATTATTCTCACGACGTTTCGGCCACAACGCTAGCAGCCGTCCTCAGGTGAAAACCAGGTCCGTCGAGGCGACAGTCTGAATGAAACGGCACACGAGCTTGGAGCATATATATAAGCTGGGCGCATTGACAAACGGAATTTGCATATCAAGAGGAATTTAGCATATTTATGGGAAATGCAGGAATGTGATTAGTACTGCATATGCATGTGCATTATGCAGGATTAACAGTATCAAAGGGAGCTGCAGTTGCTGCTGCTGCTGCAGTTGCTGCTGCAGTTTCTGCTGCTGCTGCAGTTGCTGCTGCAGTTTCTGCTGCAGTTGCTGCTGCTGCTGCAGTTGCTGCTGCTGCAGTTGCTGCTGCAGTTGCTGCTGCTGCTGCTGCTGCAGTTGCTGCTGCTGCTGCAGTTGCTGCTGCTGCTGCAGTTGCTGCTGCTGCTGCAGTTGCTGCCTTATCCATTTTAATATAACACTATGTATTATTCTACCCACCCTAATGTGTATCACACTGCTATATATTTACTATACAATTACGACACCATACATTACTCTGCACACTGCACCATGCCAGTGAGTGGAACGCGGTCTGAAAGTCACCGTAAACGTGAACACAATCAGTTAAGATCCGAAATGGTTTATTACGTCCTTCCAATGATTGCTAAGCCAGAATCCATCTTCTCGGTTGAAATTGTCTCTGTGTTTGTATATGTGGATCGCCTCATGAACGAATCTCTCATGATAGCCAGATGGCTTGCAGAGAACCTCTGTCTTGGAGAAGTCAATGTCATGTGAGCCCACTGAATTGTAACAGTGATCTGCCACGGCTGAGGTGTTTGTCCTACCGTGTTTCAGGTCTGCTTTATGTTCACGGATGCGGTCCGAGACATGTCGTTTGGTTTCTCCAATGTAACTGAACCAAGAAGATCTTTCGGTAAAATCACGTAGATAGAAAAAATAATAATAAAATAAAGTGAATAAAACTAAAATAAAATAATAAATACCAAAAAACATTCATGTAGACTGTAGCCTGGTTCTTAATCGGAGTGAGTGTACTGGCAATCTATAATGTAGACTAGCCTGGTTCTTAACCTCGGTGAGTGTACTGGCAGTCTATAATGTAGACCAGCCTGGTTTTTAAGCTGGTGAGCGTATTGGCAGTCTATAATGTAGACTGTAGCAATTGTTATTATACTGAGCGTACTGGCATTCTATAATGTAGACTGTAGCCTGGTTCTTAACCTGAGTGAGCGTACTGGCAGTCTATAATGTAGACTTATTATTGGTCATTTCAGTCATAAAAATAAATATTAAAATAAAACAAAAACACAAGCGGTCGTCATCAGGAAAAAGGGGGGTTAGCCTCTAAAGGCAAACTGTTTATAAAGGTTTAGAGATGGGCATCTCCCAAGTGTGTCAGCAGCATGGGCAGGGCATCTAATGCTAATGTAGGAGAAAAGACAAGCTACTACACCAAGCAAAGGGCGGTCCTGGCAATCATTGCACCTCGCTGCACACACCCATACTGCTGACAGTGGAGGTTGACAAGAAAGATGTCATCAAAGTGGTTGATGACATCTTTCCAATGATTGCTGAGTTTATAACCATCCTCTTCGTTGAAATTGTGTCTGTGTCTATATATGGATGGCTTCATGAAGGAATGTTTGTTGATAGCCAGTAGGCTTGCAAAGTACCATCGTCTTCGAGAAATCTATTTCGTGTGAGCCAGCTGCATTAACATAATGATCAGCCACGGCAGAAGTATTGCACCTACCGTGTTTCAAATCTGCCTTGTGCTCACGAACACGGTCCGAGACATGTTGTTTAGTTTCCCCAATGTAACTGCTGCCGCAGGTACAGCTTAATTTGTAGACGCCGGGATATTGCATGTCAGGAATTTTGTCCTCAGATGGGATCAGATCACGAATTTTATGTACTGTAATTTAATTGGATCTGGATCTTGTGTTTGTTCATGATTTTGGAAATCTTTTTGGTTACCCCTGCTATGTATGGCAATATGATGGTTTTGATTGAGTCCTCAGATGGCTTCTTCCTCACGGTTTTTTATTCACTTTATTTATTATAATTTTTCTATCTACATGACTTTACCGAAGAACCAAAGAAAACGTTGTTTTTGTTTGTGTACACAGGTTATCTACTTGAAGAGGACACCTGAGGAGGCGTACCGCCCTCTAGTGGCTGGTAACACACCCCCTTACCTGCCCTTCAGGTGACAACTTCACCCTGCAACACAGTCTGTCATTGTCTTTGTGTCACCGTGTCACTGTGTGTACCTCTATGTTTCTTTGTGCATGTGTAACTGTGTGTGTACCTCTCTATGTATATCTGTATAGTTGTGTTTATCTCTGTGTATTTGTAGTTATCTGTGTGTTTGTGTGGTGTGTGTATCAGGAAATACTTCTTGTGTGAGGTGCTTGCTAACAGGACTTGCCCCAACAGTCTGTTAAAGGCTATACGAGGGTTCTTTGTAGTTGTATAAATCTCTGTATCTGTGTGTTTAGCTGTATATGTGTGGAGCTGTGTCTGTGTCTAGGTTTATCTGCATGTGTATTTCTAAGTCTACATCTGTGTACATCTTGTGTGTGTTTTATGTGTCTTTTTTTCACTCATCCTTGCTACCATCACCCCCCCCCCCACCAGAGATGCTTCATTCGGACCATGCAGCTTCAACCTGACCCTCCTTGACTGTCTGCAGGGGGTCGGCAAGGTAAAGACACAGCCTGCAATGGATTGCTTATGCCACTTCTGGCAGAATGGCCTCCACTACTAGAGTGACCTGTAGAGGATATTTTGGTCAACTCTTCCACGATGACCAAATGTCTTAGAAGAGGTGGGCCTACCTACATTTAACCCCACCATCACAGTCGGCTATTTTTCAGGAGGGTCCTGCTACATTGGGATGTTTGGCCAACGTTGATGGCATTGTATGTTTTTAGCTATGGAGGGATACTGGAGAGAACCCATGCAGAACCAGCGACAAAACAAATGCCACAGAAGGAGTCAAGAAACAAACCCAGGCCCTTCTCACTGTGAGGCACAAGTGTTACCACTGTGCAACTGGTAGATCAGTCTGACAGTATCCATTAAATAACCTGGACATGAAATATAGCCATTGGGATACATGAAACATCATTGCTGCTTTTGAAAGGGTGACCTAGGTGAAGATGAAACAGATAAGCATACAATACACCACCTGATTAACATATCTGCCCCTCCATATACACAAATACATTTTTACACATCCCATCAGCCACATGGACTTATCAGAGCATTTTACCAGCAGCACTGGTTCAACACAAACAAAACTCTGGACTGGTTTCACATTGAGTTTCTCATCAGCAGTCAACTCATGGTGATGAAACTGCCAGATGTTTACAGGTGTAGTGAGTCCAACTGAATCGCAGACGTTCTTTAGAGGCAACACATTTATTGTAACATCAACACGTAACAGAAAGGGGTAACTGCCCCTTCACCAGATACAGCCTAGGGTGGTGGCCACCCAGCTAACTACCCTATACGGAGGAGTTACAGCTATGAAGGGTCTGACCCTCACTCGGGTCCCAACCACGTGTTGATGCCTGTAGAACTTCCAGCTTGTAGGACGTAGAGCTTCCAGCTTGTAGAATGCAGCGACCCCGGTTCCCCTCAGGGACCCGCCTTATATCCTCCTGGGTCAGGACCGCTCCGCCCGCCTTCTCGAGCCTTCTAGTTCCGTCTCGATCCCTCTCGAGAGCTCTCCCCTAGCCCCCCCACCTGGGGCTCCCTCTGTGGACACTCCGGATCACGTGTCTACGGGGTCAACCAGAGTGCCATGGCCTGGGGCAATTCTGCCCCTGGGCTGACACCCTCCTACTCCCCCTTGTGGGAGCTCGCATTACACGCTATGCGTGGTGCACGCGCGATCCCAGCGCATACCAAGCCCCACTAGGGCTGGTACTACACCGGCCTACGGGGTGTACGCGATGACAGTGCATCGCGCGCCACGGCCCTCTCGGGCCGGCACCATACAGTGACATCCCTGATGTCACTACACAGGCAAGGAAACGATTATATACTAGCTTTTTTGCCCGTTCAATAGAAAAATTGTTCAGCTCATGATTATTAATGAGGAGGGGGGGTTGCCCCATGTTGAGTGACGTCATCCGGTAATGGTTATAATAATGAGTGGAGGGGTGCGGTATGTGGAGTGACGTCACCCACTCATGATTATTAATGAGGGGAGAGGTGCGGCATGTGGAGTGCGCGACCTTCTTGTACGTGAGTGTAAATTTCCACCTGGGCATGAATATTAATGAAGGGGGGGGCCTCTTTTGCAGTGACATCATGTACAGATGTAGCACTGCTGCGTAGATTTATTTTTTACCGTCACTTTCGATAAAGAAATGTAATTTGAAGCAACTTTGCGTAAACAATTATTTAATTCAGCTCGACCTTCCCCTGCGTTCGTGTAAAAATTCACCCACTCGTGAATATTAATGAGGGGGGGGGGGTGGGCCTCATGTGGAGTGACGTCACGCGAGGGGTTGGGCCTCATGTGTCGACGTCACTCGCGAGGACACACATTCTCTGATTGACAAAAAACAACTCTGATTTTGTTTGCATTATGGCTACAGGTATTGTGGTCTATGCAAACATGACTCCTTGTAAAAAAGGTGTCAGTTTTGTTGCCAGATAAAAGGGTAAAAAACCAATTATCATATTTTTTACTGGCAAATGAGGTTCCAATGGTGTAAATGCTTACCCCGAGCTCTCATACTCTGATGGGGTGCATTGTCTTTGAGTTGTGCGCCTTTTGGCGTCATCTGGTCCAACCCATGTGAGACTAGGCTCTAAGGAAAGCTGTCTCGGGTGGGAACCAATCAACTTCAAGGACAGTGCATATATTATCAGAGTTATGTTTTTTGTTTGTATTATGACTGCAGGTATTGTGGTCTATGCAAACATGACTCCTTGTAAAAAAAAGTGTCAGTTTTGTTGCCAGATAGAAGGGTAAAAAACCAATTATATTTTTTACGGGCAAAAAAAGTTGTTGGGAGGCTCTTTTCCTATGGAGTACATTACATCTTGGTTAGGTATGACTGACTTATTTCGCCTTTAATTCTTCTAGATGACCCTTTGTCTAATACTTCGTAATTATTATTTGGTTTGTGTTTATTCAAGATTTGTGATTTAGCATTGTTATCATTACCGCGTATTTCGTAGGGTTTTACTAACCTTCGTTCCACCACCTGTATCCTGGGTTTGTTCTCGAGTTATTATGTTATCTGATATCCCGAGGTTAGAGAATTCGTTTTGGCTTGGTCGCGTAGATAAAGAAAAATAAATGACATTTGTATTAAAATAATGAATGGGAAATAATAGTAACTGATGTAGATTTTAGCCTGGTTTTTACTTGGAGTGAGTGTGAGGCGTACTACGATAATGTTCACTTAATCTTTGTCGCTAAGTTTTGGATTTTTCGTTAGCTAAAATAGCCTCCAAAACCCGTCTGTTCGCTTTTTGCCGCCCGTTTTACAACACCCCCTCTCTCTCTCCTTTGCAGCGGGGGGGGGGGGGGTCATTATCTTTATGGTTCACCTCCGGTTCCCTGTTGCGAGCGTGACAAGGCAGCTGCTCGAGAAAGGGGGGGGGGGGGAGTTCCGTTTGTTTTCGCTCCAAGTGACCCCGCGATTGATTATATGAAAAAAAAATTGGCAGAATTATTCTTAATATTAATTTTGGAAAAAGGGTCATATATCCAACACGTTGCCCGGGTCAAAAACATATTTCAAAACTACTCTTAAAAATGTAACAGCATTGTGTACTGACTGTGGTGGTACCTGCTATGATTACAGCAGTGCATACCGACTATGGTGGTACCTGCTATCATTACAGTAGTACATGCTGACTGTATAGAAGTATTTATCGACTGTATAGCACAAAGTACTCACCTGACAGAGTGGCGTGGTGAGGCCTAGTCTCGTGCAGAGCCTCCGTCCTCGCCTAGATTGTCCAGCTGGCCGAGGTGGCACCTTGGCAGACTGGGGCTGGGCTGCTACACCTGTGACCCCCCCCCCCCAGCCACGATCTACCGCCTATAGTGGTAGCATTTAGCGACTGTATAGTAGTAATAACTGCACACAGTGGGGTCGGGAGGACATCACACAGTGAAGGTTTACCTGAGCGTTTAGTGTATTTTTACAGCATTTTTAACGTGAAAGAAAATGTTCCCCTCACTCGCACCAAAGGCGTGCGACTTGGCATGGGACATCCCCCCCACCAAAGGCACGTGAGTTGGTATGGTCGTGCATGCGTCATAAAAAAATAAATTAAAGGGAAGCACACAGAAATCACACTAAATCGCTAATTAAACTAATTTTAAGTTGACGGATGTGAAAAAAGAATAGTGCTTGCTCACCACGGGGCTTCTGGCGTGGTACTTGGCTATTTTTTTTTACGTTAACCCCGCTGTTGGAGAGCCAAGCGCGCGGCCACACACAAACTCGCACACAATTTTTGACTTTTTTATATATAGATAGAAGAAGAAGATTGGTTAAGATAAGTAGGGTAGCCACTGTTCCACCTGTCGGCTGTATCGCCTTCTATTCTTCATCCTTTCTTTCCTCTTTATTTTGGCTAAAGGGATTATTATTGTTATAATGTTGACATTATTGTGTTGTCGTGTGTCGATGTGTGTGTCTAAGCTCTTGTGTTGTTGCTGCTTCTGTTCGTTTGCAGGCACTGCAGACTGGCTTCCTGGACTGTACGCGTTTTGACTTAGAAGAGTATGAGCATTACGAGGTGGGTCACCTCCCCTCCCTCCCCTCCCCTCTTCTCATCCTTAACAGTGAATGACAGCTACTATTGTTGTTGTGTGTGATCAGCACGTTGAGAATGGAGATTTTAACTGGATCGTACCCGAGCGGTTCCTGGCATTCAGCGGTCCCCACCCAAAAAGCAAAGTGGAAAACGGTGATGATGCACACACATAAACACGCGCTTGCATGCACATATGGGGAGTGGTAGTGTAGTGGTTATCGCACTGCGCTGCGAACCCTGGTTCCCAAGATCGGTTCCTACTCAGGACCAATAACAGTGATAATTATATCTGAAATGGTTATGGGTCTCCCAATAATCGACTCAGCCTTTAATGAGTACCTTGAACAGTGTGTAAACATCAACACTGGGGAATCAGGCATGGTGCTGGCCCCCTATCACTTCATGTGCCGTATCGGTCTTCATAGGTGCTCGCTATCAGTCTATTAAAAGTCTACATGGGGGTGGGGGGGGGATATGTATTTTGTGTGCACGTGCAGGCTACCCACTACATTCTCCAGAGTCCTACATCCCGTACTTCCGTAAGAACGGCGTCACCACCGTCATCCGGCTCAACAAGAAGGTGTGAACGAACACACCGTCAGCAACATGCACCGGGTCGGGCACTTCTTGCCTTGGCCGCTGGATCCGTTTGTAACGCTTTAAAACTGGACGAGGGTTGAAAGTGTCGGTGCACTAGCTGTTTGTCCGGTATGGGGTGAAAAAAACTGTAAAAGAATATAAAATACCAGGTAAAGCCCACTGAGCTATATAGATAATTTTCAGAAGCGATCTGGCCACAAATGATCACTCAAAGAAGTGGCCTATCATGTCGAAATATATAGCAGCCAAATACTCTTAAAAGGCGTGTTTCTAAATGTGTAAGGAAACACTAGAGGACCCGGAGAAAAATCTACGTGGCCACGGGGAGAAAGACATGCAAGCTCCAAATATACAGTCGTCAGGGTCGGGATCAAACTAACGACCTATATACCACTCAAGGTAGTTAACATCTCGCCACTGTGGTAACAATGGCTGAGCGATGATGATGATGATGATATGTGTTGCCGCGCGCCGGGGTAGATCTACGACGCGCGGCGCTTCACGGACGTGGGGCTGGTGCACCACGACCTGTTCTTCCCGGACGGCAGCTCCCCGAGTCCCGATATCGTGCGCAAGTTCTGTGAAATCTGCGAGGGCACGCGGGGCGCCGTCGCCGTGCACTGCAAGGGTGCGTCGCGACTGGTGGTGGTGTGAGTGGTGGTTATAGTGGTGATGGTAGTAGTAATGTGAGTGTTGGTCATTGGGGTGGCGCTTGGTGTAGTTATGATAGTCGTGGTGGAGGGTGATGCTGCTGGTAATGGAGAGATAGCGCATGCGTCAATAGTGACAACGTTGTCGTGTGGTGATGGTGACACTGTGTGCGTGCAGCGGGGCTGGGCCGCACAGGCACGCTCATCGCATGCTACCTCATGAAGCACCACCGCCTCACGGCTGCCGAGGCCGTCGCTTGGATCCGCATATGTCGGCCGGGCTCCATCATCGGGCCCCAGCAGCACTTTCTGCTCGAGTGAGAACCACACCGATACAACAACAGCTGCCATTCGCCACTAAGTGGCGGTGACGTCACTACGGCATTTGTGCCAGGCCAGGTGCACTCCGAGGCCACGTGAAGTGGTGAAGGCTTGCTGGCAGGCGGTGACGGGACAGACTCGTGTGCCATGACAACACCTTCACCCAATCTGCTCCACTGCCTGCTCCCCGTTTGCCCCCCTCGGCAGGAGGCAATCCGGCCTGTGGGCTCAGGGGGAGGCGTTCCGTGCCAAGCAGCAGCGTGTGGGCTCGGGCCCCACGGGACGCGAGGGCACGGCGCTGGGCGTGTCGCGGATCTTGGCGCGTGTCGATGACATCAGTCTACGCGACCCGCTCGGCCCCATCTCCCCCTCATCATCGCCATCACTGCACGCCACGCAGATCGAAGACGTGAGTATCACAAACGTTGGGGTCGGGGGTCACGGGGAACTAATGAGATGTGTGCAAGTGCTTGTGTGTGTCTCCGTTTGTGTGTCTGTAGATGGGTATATGTGTTTACATCAGGTCCATGGGAAGCGGTGGCGCAGTTATTAGCACAATACGCTACGAACCCCCATGCCCGGAGTTAGATTACTGCTCATGGTCAACATCCGTGACGAATATCTGAACCGGTCCTGGGCCTCCCCGAGGTCAGCTCTTTGACAAATTAGATTATCCTGGTCTCTTGAGTGCTTGCCTAGTTCAACAAATAATCCTGACTCAGCTTTAAATGAGTATCGAGCATGGTGAGACAATAGTGGTAGCTACAAAACCCTTGTGTGCCTTTTTGGTCATAATAGGTGTTTACCTTAATCGATTCTCTTTAACAGAACTTGCCCCAACAGTCTCTATAAGGCTACACAGGGGATCTTTGGTTTTGTGTGCACATGTGTGTGCATGTGTGTACCTGTGCAGTATGAGGTGCAGGTGGAGGGCATGGGCCGTGGTGGCCCCACACAGGGAGACAAACTCCGCGCTCTTAAAAACCGGCGACACACTCGGCATGCTGCCACCACCGGCCCCACCGCCACCAGCAGCAGCAGCAGCAGCGCTGGCAGTGGCAGCAGCAGCAGCGGCGTCACCACACGGCACTCGGCAGCCTTGCTCACCAGTGGAAACTTGAGGTGGGAGGAGGCCTTTTGTCGGGTGGTTGAGTTGCATATTAACCGTTGGCAGTGATGCACAAATAAGACCTATCGCTCGGTAACATTACCACATGTGCATACATGCATGCATGCAACAACAACATCCGGCATTCACCACGAAGTGGTGGTGATGTCACCACAGCGCTTGTGCCAGGCGAGGTGCACTGAGGCCACGTGAAATGCAGAAGGCTTGCTGGCAGGAAGTCACTGATAGAGACGCAGGTGTTATGGGTAAACTGACTGAGGTGACTGGCAAATGTACCACCTGTGCTCCCTTCTGTGCCAACGACACGCATGCATTCACTCACGCATACACTTGGGCACGGTCAGGCTCACACACCCACGCATGTGTGCGTGATGGGGTGTGTGTGTCGTTGCGCTCCAGGCGGGGAGAGACACGCATGAACACGCGCTCCTCTTCCCAACAGCTGAGGTCCGTTCCACATTGACACAACCATCTCTGTCTGTCAATTTGTGTGTGTTTTTCTATTAATCTGTAAGTCTGTATATCTGTCCATCAATGTATGTGTCGGTGTGATGCATTAAACAAATCGAGTAACTTTGTGAATATTACTTTAATAATGCTCTTTTTCGCTGGCCGTTTGTCGATTTGGGCCTTTGGGCATGTGCTCAGAAACTGTGTTTCAAAGAAAATGCCCTTATAATGTATTTGCAGGCAAATAATTACAACGATTCCCCATATAGCCTTAACAGACTGTAAAAGCAAGTGCTGTTAGCGAGTAGCACCTATGAAGGCTGGCAAGGGGGTGGGTGGCCAGCATCATGCCCGGCCGCCTCCATCTCCCCAGTCCTGTTGTTCACACACCGCACCAGGTACTCGCTTGAGGCTGAGTCGACTTAGGGGAGGTCCAGGACCGATTCAGATAATTGTCACCGGTGTTGGCCATGAGCTGTTATAGAACTCGAGTCACTGGGTTTGTAGCGCAGCACGTTAACCGCTACACTACCGGTCCCCAATAACAACAACAACTACCATTCACCACTAAGTGGTGGTGACATCACCACAGCGCCTGAAGCAGGCGATGTACCACATGAAGTGTCGAAGGCTTGCTGGCAGGTCACGGGACAGACCCAGGTGCCATGGGTTGACTGATGGAGATGACTGTCACATGCACCATTAATCCTCAGACACAGGCCCACATACACATACATGCATTCACTCAATCTGATTAATTATTAAAATAATATTTCACTTGCTTACCATGGAAAGCCTAAATGAGTCTCAAGATTATTTTTCAGCTGACTCTTACTACATTTTCACTGTCGAAATGACAATTGCTGCTTCATAGCTTTATCCAATTAAGTGTGTGGTGGTTATGTGTGGGAGTGGACGCGCTTGCGGGTGGATACGTGTACATCCACTCAACAAATGCACCGCGCCTGCATCCCCCGCAGGACGGCGACGGTGCAGGGCGCTGCCGCCGCTTCCACGTCATCATCGTCACTGTCGCCGTCGTCTCCGGTGAAATCGGCAAAGTCTCCAGCATCGTTGGGCGTCCAGAGCAGTGCCCGTGTCACCCGGCACTCCACCGGGGGAGGGGGCCACTCCGCCCTCAAGAGGTAGCGCTTGCATGATGGTGCCTGATGATTGCCTGATGATTGTATTCATTGGTAGTGTATTCGTGTGTGCGCCGGTGTGAGTCAGTGTGTGTATTTAGTGATGTTAGTGTGTGTGTGAGCTGTTGGGTTAGGGCAATGGTTACAGAAGATGATGTATGCAGTTTTTGTCTTGAAGGCATATTAATTAATGTAGAGGTGCCGGTGTGTCTGTTGTGTGTGTGCGGTCTTGTGTTAGTGGGTGATGATGTGAGTGCATGTTGGTGAGATATACGTGATGGCAGTATTTATGCTTGATGAGACATGGTGTGTGTTATTGTATGTTGGTGCATTTGTTAATGCATGCCTGTGTTTAATTGTTTTTGTGCATGTGTTTGTCTATACGTCTGTGCATGTTTTATGAATGTGGATATGCGCGTGTATGTGTGCCATGGTTTAGTGGTGGGTGTACACCCAAGACCCCATTCCAACCTATGGTGGCCTGGTTTCAGCTGATGAAAGTTGCTAGCGAGAATTTCATCATCGCTTGCGACTGGGGTTGGCATCGTCCCCCACTTCTCCTGATGTCGAGGGTAAATGGGCGAGGTTTAGGACTGTGACTCATGCAGCTGCAATGGCTGCTTTGGGTACGCGGTCCAGACCTCCCCAGAGACCCTGGTTGACAGAGGAGGTGTTCAGGATGGTTGAGAAAAAGCGACAAGCCCACTCTAACTGTCTACAGCATCCCACGTCAGAGAAAGAGGAGGCTTAACGCAGCCTTACCGCAACCTTCGCTCGGAGGTTCGGAGAGCCGTGAGGCGCTGCAAGAGATGGAGTCTGCCTCAGTGGCCCACGATCACAAATCCCTATTTAACTCCATCAAAAAAGTAACCTGCAGCGCCACACCTATTACCATCATTAGGGGAAAAAACGGCGATCCAATCTCCGACCCCCAGGAACAGGTTTGCAGATTTGCTGAGCATTTTTGTGAGGTCCTGGGGGAGGGGAAATCTCTCAGCCAGGAAACCATCGTGGCACAAAGCGGGGATGACCCTGTTGAGGCTGTGGTGCTTCAAATATTGGAAGATGAAGTCACCCCCTGTGAGTGGCTGGCTGAGGTGCCATCTGTTTATGAAGTACTGAAGGCGATCCAGAGTCTGAGACTAGGAAAGGAACCGGGCAGAGATGATCTCCCAAGAGAAATGCTGAGGGAGGGTAGCGTTTGTGCACAGACTGCCCTACATGACATCATAACAACAGTCTGGACCACTGGACGGGTTCTGCAGGATTGGAAGGATGCCCTGGTGGTCCCCCTCTTTAAGAAGGGGGACCACACAGACTGTAACAACTACAGGGGCATCTCACTCCTCAGTGTGCCGGGAAAGGTCCTGGCAAGGATTATTCAACATCGTCTTGCTCGGCACGCTGAGGAGAGGCTTGCGGAGCCCCAATGCGGTTTCAGGAAAGGGTGGTCTTGCACAGATGCCGTATTTTCTGTCCGTCTGCTACAGCAGAGGTGTAGGGAATTCCAACAAGACCTACATCTCTGCTTTATTGACCTGGTCAAGGCCTATGATACCATCAGTAGGCCTGGGCTCTGGGTTGTTCTTCGTGCTTTTGGAGTCCCTGACTCTCTGCTCACGATCATTAAGGACCTTCATGATGGTGAGCGGGCCTGGGTAAAACTACGTGGCCAGGAGTCAGAGCCATTCCCTGTACACCTTGGGGTGCGACAGGGATATCCTCTAGCTCCCACATTATTTAACATCTATTTTAACCATGTAGTTCGTGAAGCCTTCAATAGCTGTACCGGAGGAATTTCCATTTGGTACAGATATAATGGGAGGCTGATCGATGCCCGGGTGCGGTCAAGGGATGCCTCCCTATTGTCAACCATGTTATGTATGCCGATGATTTGGTAATTGCTGCTCATTCAGAGGAGGAGTTAGAGACGCTTCTTCTGAAACTGGAGTGTGCCACTAAGAGGTGGGGCCTTACCATCAGCCCCACCAAAACTAAGCACCTGCCTGGGTATTTTGTACCATCAGACACTCCACCCCCACAACTCCCAATCGGTGATGGGGCAGTTATGGAGAGAGTGGAGAGTTTCCCATACCTGGGCAGTATGCTCATGTCCGGCTCCGGTTTGCAGCGGAGGCCTCACTCCGAATCAGTCGAGCAGCAATATCTTTTCATCGGTTGCGTAACGCTGTGTGGAAGCTGCCTGGTCTGTCGCTCCACACGAAGCGTCAGGTCTTGATAATTGGTTTTTTACCCTTCTATCTGGCAACAAAACTGACACCTTTTTTTACAAGGAGTCATGTTTGCATAGACCACAATACCTGCAGCCATAATGCAAACAAAAAACATAACTCTGATAATATATAAGCCCTGTCCTTGAAGTTGATTGGTCCACACCCGAGACAGCTTTCCTTAGAGCCTAGTCTCACATGGGTTGGACCAGATGACGCCAAAAGGCGCACAACTCAAACACAATGCACCATCAGAGTATGAGAGCTCGGGGTAAGCATTTACACCATTGGAACCTCATTTGCCAGTAAAAAATATGATAATTGGTTTTTACCCCTCTAACTAGCAACAAAACTGCCACATTTTTTACAAGGAGTCATGTTTGCATAGACCACAATATCTGCAGCCATAATGCAAACAAAATCAGAGTTATGTTTTTTGTCAATCAGAGTTATGTTTTTTTTTGCATTATGGCTGCAGGTATTGTGGTCTATGCAAACATGACTCCTTGTAAAAAAGGTGTCAGTTTTGTTGCCAGATAGAAGGGTAAAAAAACAATTATCATATTTTTTACTGGCAAATGAGGTTCCAATGGTGCTTCAGGTCTTCTCGGCCACAGTCATTCCCTCCCTTCTCTATGCTTGCGAAACGTGGACTCCCCTAATGGAGCATCTTCGCCGGTTAGAAACATTTAGGCTGGCCTGCCTATGATCCATCCTGGGTTTAACCAGGCTGGATTGTGTGAGGCGCTCGCAAATCCTTGAAAGATCTGGGAAAAGTCCCATCGGTGAACTCCGGCAGGCAAGGCTGCATTGGCTGAGTCATGTAGCCCGCATGCCCAGCCACCGCATGCCTAAATAGCTTTTGTTCGGCCAGATCGAGGGGGCTAAACGGGCGCAGCACGGGCTAGAGAAGAGATGGAGTGATGTGGTCCAGGAGGACGTGGAGCTGAGTGGACTTGCCGATGACTGGTACCAGCGGTGTCAAGATCGGCCTCAGTGGAGGAGGCTCGTGAAGGACGCTACTGGGCAGTTAAGGCAGCTGCCCTCCAACAACAACGGAGGGCGGAGGAGCGACGCTCACAACAACGAGCGGAGCGCCGGGTGGCTAAAACACAGCAAGTTGGCACAGTAGGGGGCACAGGTGATACATCAGCCAGTCATCTCAGTCATCTCGGTCAGTCGACCCGTGGCACCTGGGTCTGCCCCGTGACCTCCTGCCAGCGGGCGTTCGACACTTCACGTGGCCTCAGGGTGCATATGGCCATGGCACAAGCGTAGTGGTGACATCTTCACCACTTAGTGGTGAATGGCGGTTGTTGTGTTGTTGTTGTATGTGTGCCTTTATGTACGTGTAGAAAACTACATACGCTTCATTTCATTCCCGCTTGATTCTCTTTTTAACCCAATGACTGTTTCCATCATCATCATCAGCAGCTGCATTTATTTTATAACATCTGCATGAACAAACACGCGGTCATTTACTTTGTAAAATAATTTCACTGCATGAACATTCATTCATTGTGTCTCCCCTCTCATCCCTCCCTCCCCCCACCTCCCTCTCAACCTCCTGGCTCCCGCCAAGTTTTGTACTCAACCCGCGACTGAGCGGTTCCCTTGGGAACCTGTCCAACGATCGCGATGTCACCATCACGGTTTCCAATTCGTCAAGAGCCTCGGCCAATCACGTGTCGACGCTGCGCCGCTCGGCCAATCAGTTTAGCTCCACGGATCGTGATGACTGGGGAGTGGGCGGCGTTGGTGGATTTGGTGGCGGCTGCGTCATCTTCTCGCCCGACACCCGTGGGAGAATTTCGGGTGCTGCTGACACCACCCATAATGCACCGGGGGCTGTGGCACTTGCCCCTCGACAGCTCGGCCGCTACTCTTCAGTAAGTCGGCGGAGAGAGTTTGGCCGGCCTGCTCGTTGGTTCATTAGCATTCCAGCCTGTTAACCCACCAGACGTTTAGCCCGCTGGTCAGACCGGTGGAAAAACCCCATCCCAAAACTGGCCATAGCACTGAGTCTCCTAGAAGGTGAGGTCAATTGGTCAGTTGGTCAGTGAAGGTGGGGAGCGAGCATAGACGTGGGAGCGTAAAAGTACAGTACAATAATAGCTATGGCATCATTGTACTCTGCTGTCTACAATGTCGCCCATCAGAATTTGGAAGCAATCAAGGTGGAGCCTTGGTAGTGAGTACTTTGGTGACCAACGACCATCTGTAGTAACAGGTAGTATAGGCTATAAGGCTGGATGCTTGTTACTTCCATCATTTGTTATTTTCACAAAAACCTGGTGAAACCTCTCAACCCCCCATCCTCTCCCAATCCCATAACCACAGTACCTACACAGGTTCTCGTGTGTGTGCGGCCGATTGTATTTGTGTCTAAATGTGCCTGCAGGTGTATGTTTTATGAACCTCTGTGCAGTGATGTATGTGTGCAAACCTTTGAGCACCATGGTGTTTGCATGTGTGCAGTGAGTGATAAAGGCATGCATATGTGTGTAACTCTGTTGTCTTTTTTATGTATGTGTCGACTCAGCCTTAAATGAGTACCTGGTGCAGTGTGTAAACATCAGTACTTGTGAGACAAAGGTGGCCAGGTATGGTGCTGGCCACCCACTCCTTTATGCTGTGCCGCCCTTAAAAGGTCTGTTAAAGGTTATATAGGAGATCTTTGTATAGATATGTGTGTGTTTTAGTATGTGTGTGCAGTTGTACGCGTGTATCAAGCTGTATATGTGGTGTGTGTATATAGTGTTGTGCATATGCACCCAGTTACAGTGCCAATACTAATCCCGCAACTTTGCAAGGGCTCATGCTACTCGACGGCCTCTCTTCCGTTACCTCCTTCACGCTTTTCTCTTGACTCTGCCGCCATGCCGTCTCTTCTCTTCTGCTCCCCCACTCCCTTAACTGCACCCCATGCCGTCCTCCACTACAATTCTCCCCCCACCACCTGACCCCCGACCCACCTGGCGTGTCGGCTGACGCAGCAGAGGCCGGCAACGGAGGAGGGAGCGGTGTGGGAGGCAGCTGCCCCCGGTCAGCCATGCGCCGGTATCCATCCTCTTCTTGGTTCTCTCTCCCTTCTCTCTCTTCTCTTTGCTCTATGACACACTATTTCTGCATCCCCATACCCTACTCACACCCTCCCCTTTATTTCTCCAGGATAAATAAAGATTCTGATTCTGTGTGACCAAATCACCCGGAATGGTGCCCGGTCTCGCTGGATCTGGAAAGCTAAGCTCTGTTGGACCTTGTTAGTACTTGGATGAGTAAGCCACCAGTACTGGCCAGGTATTGTAGCTGTGTGGCCAGGAGGTAGCAGCGCTGAGTATCACACTCATAGTGTAATGCTGGCTTTTCTCCGGTTTCTCCAGTTTCCTCTCGCATGAAGCCAAACTCTCATCACTAATGGAATTGACCAAACATCCTATTGTAGCAGGACCCTCCTGAGAAAGAGTTCTGAGACTCGGTGAGGCTTTCCTGGCATATTTGGTATCAATTCGAATAGTCAAAAAGATTTCCTAAAATTAACGTTGAGGCGATGCTCTTTTGTTTACAGCTCTTGAGCCAGCGGTGGCAATTCCACATTACTATGACGTTGGCAAGTCCCTCCATAGGACAACTGCTGTCAACTTATCCACGCCATGCAACTCATTCTTTGGTTCTTTCGGTTAAGTCACGTCTAAAGATAAAATAATAAATTAAATAATACCATATTACGACGTTTCGATTGCAACACAAGCAATCATCATCAGGCATAAAAGAAATAGCAACAAAAATCTAACTAGAAAACTATAGACAGACATACAAGCAGACAGACATCACAAGGACACACAGAGAGAGAACACATGTCGGCGCAAAGAGAGGGGTCGTTTCTGTGACGGTGCCTTAAATATAGAGAGGGGGCGGGGGCGGAGAGAGGGAGGGGGCAGAGAAAAAATTAGCATATCAATGAGTGGACGGCAACGTGATAATGCAAGTAAGACGACGACGCGGCACGGCAAATCAGGAGAAAGACACTAAAATTAAATAACCTAGTAAAATATCGAAATATAATGTAATGCAACACAGAGAGTCGGTCAACACACAATTAACGCATAGCCCGGTTGATTACGTATTTCAAAGATTGCTAAGTTAGAATTTAAGTGTGAAAATTCCAAAGAGAGGACACAGGCAGAGAGAACAAAGATAAGCTTAAAACTTCCCCGTAGAAGTGGTTCAATCTTAATTTTGGAGCTTTCGTGACTGCAGGAATAATGCTTACCCCGAGCCCTCATTACTCTGATTTTGGAGCTTTCGTGACTGCAGGAATAATTCCTGCAGTCACAAAAGCTCCAAAATTAAGATTGAGCCACTTCTACGGGGAAGTTTTAAGCTTATCGTATTTCTCTCTTTCTGGCTATTTGTTCTCTCTGCCTGTGTCCTCTCTTTGGAATTTTCAAACTTAAATTCTAACTTAGCAATCTTTGAAATACGTAATCAACCGGGCTATGCGTTAATTGTGTGTTGACCGCCTCTCTGTGTTGCATTACATTATATTTCGATATTTTACTAGGTTATTTAATTTTAGTGTCTTTCTCCTGATTTGCCGTGCCGCGTCGTCGTCTTACTTGCATTATCACGTTGCCGTCCACTCATTGATATGCTAATTTTTTCTCTGCCCCCTCCCTCTCTCCGCCCCCGCCCCCTCTCTATATTTAAGGCACCGTCACAGAAACGACCCCTCTCTTTGCGCCGACATGTGTTCTCTCTCTGTGTGTCCTTGTGATGTCTGTCTGCTTGTATGTCTGTCTATAGTTTTCTAGTTAGATTTTTGTTGCTATTTCTTTTATGCCTGATGATGATTGCTTGTGTTGCAATCGAAACGTCGTAATATGCTATGATTTAATTTATTATTTTATCTTTAGACGTGACTTAACCGAAAGAACCAAAGAATAATTCCTGCAGTCACGAAAGCTGCAAAATTAAGCCATGCAACTCATTTTATTGACCCCTCAGGATTTGAACTCGCAGCTTTGTGATTGCGAGCTGCCCACTCTACCGCTGAGCCACCTGACCGGTTATTAATATTGTTCCGACAGCAAAGCTTATCGTTGTTGTTTGTATAAAATCTATTTAGTGCCACCAGAGTTTGCGTTCACAAAAGAAGGGGAAAAACCCTATTATATTTTGGTACTGGCAAAGGAGGCCTCGATGTAGATGCTTACCCTGAGCCCTCATTACTCTGATAGTGCGTTGTCTTTGAACTGTGCACCTTTTGGCGTTATCCGGTCGAACGCTGTATGAGACTAGGCTCTAAGGAAAGCTGTCTCTGGTGTGGACCAATCAGTTTAAAGGACAATGCATAAATTAGAGTGTTTTTTGTTTGCATTCTGACTGCAATAATTGTGGTTAATGTAAACATTACCCCTTGCAAAAGGTTTCAGTTTTGTTGCCAGAAAAAAGGGGAAAAACCCTATCATTAATGGATGTTATGTTTCCCAATTTCCCCCTGCCCCCCCTCCAGTCTCTACAGCCATCACGGAGCCAGTACTAACGACCCCTGAACTCCCAAGATGCTTTGCGGTGGAAGGGGCTACAGTTGGGCCTGGGGTGCATGCGAAGTGACATCATCGCATACTCCGCCATCAACTCTCGTACACGTGTGTGTACCCATGCGTGTACACATACCTAATGTGTGGATATGATACATATCTGTGGACAATACAAGCTTTGTATATGTACATACGTGTTTATACTTACATCTATACACGTGTGCGTGCATACACACCTCTTTGATGTATGTGTATGGTACGTATCGATGTATAGTACATATTTCCCAGTATGTGTACGTACGTATATGTATCTATGTACGTACTAGGGTTGTTAAGATAGTTTTTTTTACTTTACTGGTAATCGCATGAAATAAAATGGTTACCGGTTTGCGGCACATAGAAATGTCTAGAGTTAAGGACACAAAATGTGTTTAGTTTTTTAACCCTTTCCCGTTCTGAGATGTCTGCAAATTGCAGCATGGGTTCTGTTCACCGCTGAACCTCCGAACACGCAAGTGGTTCAACGTTACTTTATTTAGAGAGGCATAGCACCGTTGTTTTTAAAGTCGTGCTCTCCGCAGAGAGAACTGTAGTGACATGACCTCACTGTATTATAGCTGGCGCCAAACTGCCACACCCCCATGATCTTGTGGGATCCTCGATATGACAAAATTATTTTATTATACGTGTATGTCTCGGTAGCAAAACTGATTACATACACCTACGTCATTGGAATGGGAAAGGGTTAATTGAGAAATGAAGGCAGCTTCCACCGGGGTGGTGTAGCAGTCAGCACACTGGTACTTGCAATGCAGAGATCGCCAGTTAAATTCCATCTAGTGGCACGGCCGTTGAAACAACACCCCCCCCCCCCCCCCCCACAATTTATTATGTCCACCCACCAGTGTACATGAGTGCACCACAGTCGATCGGCAGGTTTTGTGTGGTGGGGTAAAGTGTGGGTACGTCCACCTTTTCGAGTACGACTGGTCAGTGAGGAATAGTAGAACAAATACCACCAGAGGTACTTCAAGTGGAGGCCCTTCTGCCAGCAGTGGTGTGAGCGGACACTTGCAGGGCTGCACCTTTACCTCTTAACTGAGAAACAAGCAACGTTCCACGCGGTGACTAATGCCTGCCACCATCCTTTCCATATGTCCGCCGCCCTCTCCTTACGTCAGTCGCACGTGCCAATCAGTTGATTACAAAAATTCTACTGAAATGCATTACGGGTTCTGATATTCGTAACCAGTTACCGATTCCGAAAACTGTTCCCAGTTTACCGGTTACTGTTTGACAACCCTAGCACATACACACACACATGTAGGTCAGGCATATAAATATTCCCCCCCCGGGTATTGAATGAAGGGTTCCGGTTTGATTTAAGAATAGATTATTGTCTCGTTTGTATTGTTTCTCGTTTTGTCTCATTTCATTAACCTGTATGAAAAATTAGCAGATCATTTGCATCGTATTTTTATAATGAATTTTCATGAACTTGAGAATGGATTTTAATTGGTGAATCGTTATGTGCCTAATCTATACTCCTTCGTATATATACACACGTACATACGCTAGCACATAGCTATAATGTATATACATACATTTATACACGTACACATTACATACTAGCATGGCTGAATAATCCCTGCTGTTGTATAAATTATAGGATAGTTCCATTAGTGAGCATCTGTTTGGAGTGACAATACTCGAGGGAGTGAATGCAAAGCCACGTATGTATATGCATAGCTCATACGTGCAGAAACAGCTAGTAGGAGTACTTGGGATAAGTCCAGACACCAATCAATGTTCTCTACTATCAATGCTCCCCACCTACACCAACCCACAATGACTTGCACGGTAAAGTATGGTTAAACAACCCACCGTGGCCCGCACAGCGTGCTGAAGGCACTCTTTAATCAGTGGATTGACACAAGGGCCGTCCGCGTTTATACACATTTACAGTTTGTAAAGTTGAAATGGGTCAAATATGGCGCTATATAAGGTGGGGTTGGGATCGAAGTATAATTGTTTTTTAACGAGCGGGAGTATTCTATGCAAAAAAGCTAATTAAGTGTAGAAGTTTGTGGCCGGTGTTCGTAGGTCTAACGTAGAAGTTTAGGCCCAAAGAACCTGATTCACAAACGACGCGACACATCGACCCTTTTAAATAACGCGCCAAAATTGTATCAACCCTGGTGGGTGGGTTAATGGGCTATCAACCCCCCCCAACCAACATTTGTACGGTGCTTACAAACTTCAAATTGCGATCCACTCTACCACTGAGCCACTCGGCCAGATTCTAATCTTGTGATATATTAAGCAATGTCGACAAACAATTGGTTAAATTATACGTTCAAACTTTGTACTAAAGCATAACTGAGTATCTGAGTGAGCACTGCTCTCAAGATCGCTTCACCTGCAACACAAGACGTTGTAGAGACATCGCATTGACGACAGCAATAAGAACGATAAAGTACCAACCATGAATAAAGCAGCAGTACACAACACGCTTTGCACTACCACAGTCGCGATTACCGTTGATGTTTTAAAGTACACTAACATATATATGTAACACGCATGTACACGAGTTTTCAAGTGCACCCGAAGGCGGAGTGAGCTTTTGACACTGAACTAGCCAATAATGATTATATTTGCGAATTAATGGTTTTTACAAAAACGTGTGTGCAGCATTCAGTGGGAACGTGACGTTTAGCATGTATTGTTGGGATATGCTAATCATGTTTGCGAGAAGCTTTAAAAAAAATCCTTTTTCGTTTAAAATCCGAAACGTCACGACCACGACGGTATTGTCTGACGATCACGTGGGGGCCTGTGCCCACGTGGAGATACGCGTCTGGACGGCGCCGCGAGATTGTGCGTCAAGCCGAACATGGTTATATTTTTATACCCACAAACAGTACCCATATGCAAGTATTTCTTATCCAATTTATAAAATGTAAAAGTAACCACCACAAAGGGCGGGACTGTGCACAATATTAGTATTTTTATATTGTCACCACCGGAGTAACGATTGCGAGATTGTTCCATGTTTAACGTCGATCGACCGGAATATTCACTGTCGAATTGTCCCTGTTGATCATCTGGACGCGTTGAGCCCAATTTTTGTGCAATGTGAATGGGTCTGTTGGGGGCTGAATGTTCTATTACTTTGGCGGGAAGAAAATAAGGGGGGCCTCTTTCCACCGTCCACCTCCCTTTCTACCCTAAGTGTAGGGTGTAGCAACCAATGTGTATTATTAAACCTCTCGAGACTGTATTGTGCTTTTGTTATTGCTGGGTGTTTGTGCATGGGGAGTTGTGGCGCAATGGTAAGTGTACTATGCTTTGAACCTGGTGATGAAAGTTCAATTGACTCATCAATGACGAATATCTGAACAAATCCTGTCCCCAATACTATCGGTATACGTGGGATATTTGTTTCAGGTTCTGTTTCGGTGGATAGAGGGGGCTGAACGAGTCCAGCACGGGCTCGAGAGATGGGCTAATGTGGTATGGGAGGAATAGGAGCTGAGTGGCCTTGGCCTGCGGGTACTAGTGTCTTCACAAACATTTACAAAACCTTTATTAGTTCTGACCGGAATTAATGATACTCTTTTTGGGAAAAAAGAAACAACACAAGCGAGATACTTTACTAAATAAATCTGTTGTATGGAAATGGCAACATTTGCAAGGGTAGTTTCATTTTGATATCTAGTTAAAACATCGTACATGGAATTCGTCATCTCGCCTGGAAGTGAATATAAGGGATCGATTGTTCACAATGTGTTCCATTGTTTGCCACAGTTGCTGTGCAGAATTTCTGAATCAACTGGTGCATTAGAGATCCACATCGCCCATGAAAAGAAGTCCTGATGTGGTTTATAATTAAGCACCTGCCGCTCAGACAGTGCGGAGCAAGTATGTTCGGCCGTCGGATCTTTTATTTGGCTCATTTTTTAGACAAATGTGCTGCCTTATTGGCGCCGTCACTTTTCTTGAGTGATTTTCGATTCCAGGTCCTCTGCTGCTGTCCAGAACCGTTGGCATGTGGTCGAGATCTTCGTAGATGGGTAGCGTCGTGTTTGAGGGTCGTTTTGTATTCTCGCGATGTGGCATTTGTTCTCTTGTTGGACTGTAGGAAGATTTAGTGCGCAAGGCACTCGTGTTTCGCACTTCCGATTAGCACGGCTGGTTACGTACGGTGCAAAAAAGTTCTATATACATGGGCCCAGGGATGCTGTTTGCAGGTGTCTTTGCATCACAACCTCAGCCCAGTACAGGTTTCCCTCGCTTCATGCGATAGATGCTGGGAGAAAAAAGTGCGCATACATCCAGATCGCACGAGACAGCTGCCTGCCGTACTGTATGCACTACTCCAAACACATACCGTACAGGAATTTTTTAGTAGAAATAGGCTGGCTGCTTATACATTGCAATATTGTATAAACCGAACCCCCATAAAGCGAGGGAAGTCTGCCTGTTAGCTTTTGGATATTAATTTTGGACATGGTGTTCGTCTTCATTTCTTTGAGAATAAGTGAGGCCTCTGTCCAACGTCAAACCAATATATCCTGGGTTTGTGTCGGGAATGATCTTAGAAATGCACGTTCATCATCCTGTTAGCTTCTGAGTTGGAAAAATGAAACAATGATACCACAATTTTCACGAGGTTAGGTTTGAGGCACCAGTATTTGGAAATATTGTTCCATCTTCTAAATCAGCGGTGGGGCTCTCTTCTGTTTCTTTGTCACTCCCAGCGCCCCCAACAAAAAATTGTCAGCATAAATTAATTTGTGGCGTGGTGTTGATGGAGGCAAAAACCAGTGTTCATGGCATATTTTTGTTATATATTTGATTATGAAAAGTGATTATCAACAATGTTTTCTGTCACCTAATATTTGGCATTCAAACATTTGGAAAACTTTACAAAACAACGTATATTGAAAATAGGCCATCGTTATCACTTGTTTATTACCTATATTCCTAGGTTGTATAAAAAAGTACATGTAATTAATGATCAGCTTTGCAACTTAGTTTGAAAGTTTTGATGCATTTATTCTACGTGCAACGTGGGGTCACAATAGCTCCTAAAGATGATCCAATATGAACAAAGATAGTATAAAGTCGTGTTGCTATAAGGGACTGATCAAAGGGTTAACCAAGTCAGCGTTCCAGTGTTTACATTTGCCTCCTGGCTCATTGCGATGGTGATTGGTAGCCGATATCGACTGCCTGCTTGTGATTGGAATACTGGTGAATGCTTGATCCTGATTGGTCAATATTAAGGTGACACGTACACACGCAACAACCTGAGGACACGGTGAGAAAAGTAAAATTCATGTTTTATGCACAAATTTTTTGACATTGCACATAAATAAAATGTGTGCAAATATTGTTTTTGACAATTAAATCCATACATTTCAATCATCGTTTAAGCAACACGTCCACAAAACTATACCGTACGCGATCGCCAAACATACCACGAATTGGCTTCGTTAATTGCGCTGGGTAGCTACGAATCTTAATAGTGTTTGCAGTGTCTACATTCCTAACATTCAGGCATTGGCGTTGGAATTGTAATCCACCTTAAGTGGTGTTCAGACTATACCGGTGATTATCACATCACCAAAACAACTATTTCACCAGCATTGGTTTAAGCAAGCATGACTGCTGATGTAGAAACCAGTTTAGAGTTTTGCTTTGTTGAACCAATTCTGATCATATGCATTTCCAGAAGGCTGTGGCCAATGAGATGTGTTATGTGGAGGGGCAGATATGAGACGTAGTGCCTGATTATATTTTTTATTATATTTTCCACGACGACGCTAAGGATTCAATCTTGACTTAAAGCTTTCGTGAATGTAAGAATTCATATTCTTGGGTCTTTCGGTAAAGTCACGTAGATAGATTCAAAGAAAATAACAAAAAACTACGACGTTTCGATCGCTTGTGTTGCGATCGAAACATCGTAGTTGTTTGTTCTTTTTTTAAAATTTCTTTGAACCTATCTACGTGACTTTACCGAAAGACCCAAGAATATGACGCTAAGGATTATTTTGTGTTAGATATCTTAATCGGCTTTTTACGAATATTCGAGTTTTGCTGATCATTTGTAATTCTGTAATCTGAGAAATCGATTTGCCAAACGGAAGACTCACCTAGGCCCTGGTGTATAACTAACGAGCGAGTGTGCAGGCAGTGCAATTGCACTGGGGCCCACCATAGGCCGGGGGGGACCAGGCGCCTGGACTCGTGGGGAGGATGGGTGACTCATGGTGGGGATCTCTGGGTGGCTTTGCCACCCTCACAAGCCAAACGGGTTACCACCAAAAGCATCGGAACCTGTTGGCCCCTGCTGCCAAGGAACCTGTGGTACCTGTGGGTTGAGGGAGGTAGAGGAATAGAGGAAGAGACATTAACATCACAAACTTCACTCTGCTATGCTGTGTAGTGGTATGAGCAACGAATGCTGGCAGAAGCGCCGTGGTGACGTCACTGCCGCTTATTGGCGAATGTTGGTTGTTTAATATGATGCTAATTTGGTACATTGACACAGGATCTGCCACAGTGGTGTAATGTTGCCACACTGGGCTTTGCAATCCAGAGGTTACCAATTGGATTTGATCTTCTGGCACAGCAGGCAGTTGCGACAGCAGGGTAAGGGTTTTCAAATCCCCCCCCCGCACCGCCTCTTTCCACCCAACAGGTCAATCTGTAGATCGTGTCCGGTAGGGTAAAGTGTGGGTAGGCCCTCCTCTTTCAGCATGTCTTGTCAGCATGGAAGCGCAGACTACATACCCTCTAGAGCCCCCTCTCATAGATGGAGCACCTGCCAGCAGTGATGTAAGCAATTGCAACGCTGCACCTCTATCTTGTAACGTGCGTGTGCAAGCTATGATTTGTAATGTGAAATGTATATGTGAATGAGTGTATCTGCATTTGGAATACAATGTTCTGCATTCCTAATGATTATTTTGTGTTGTGTATTGCAGGGGAACTCCTCTTAGCCATGGTGATATGGGTAACCAATATCACAGATCCTGTTATCTGCGGGGTAACCTGGATTTTACTCTTGTTATCCGTGGGGTAAAATATTGTGGATAACCACCAGATAATAGGATGAAGTTGCTACACAAATCTTACCAGTGAACAGAATACAAATGAGCAATGAGGTAATGCCCATTACCCACGGATAACCCGCAGGTGAATAGAAGGATTCGAACAAAATTACAGGTAGCAGGAGTTCTTAAAGCACAGCGGGAAGCATTGTTTACACGCGAATGCCAACACGTTCTTCATAGCCACGTGTCTGGCACTGCGTGAGCAATATTAACAAGAGAGAGACACGCATAGAGACAGACAAATAGACACGGAGACATTTAATTTTGTATGTGCAGGGACCGATATGGGAAGGAGAGGAATTGCCTGCTCATTTGTGACATGAACTCTGGGTCCAAGCCACGTCAGCCACACTGAACCCACCAATGAAGGAGCTCCGAGGATGGCCCCTGTGGGGGTGGGCTGTGCCGGCTGATGCTGATTGGCTGTGGGGAAGGCGGTTGTCCCTGCAAGGCTCTGCCCAGGCCACTGCTGATTGGTCGATGGCATGGTTGCTCCTGTGGAACCAACAGCATAAACATCACCATCAACTTACCACTACTATGATTATAACCACATCACCATCCTCTCTAACAAACCATTATCGACACATCACATTCCTATCGAACGCACCACCATCTACACATAACCATCCTCTCTAGCACATCAACATATCCTCATCACCACCATCGACGTCACCATGTTTTTTAATACACCACCATCACCACCACACACCCGCACCGTTCTGCATCTGGCTGAGTGACGGTTTCGCCGGCTGTGCCATCTTGAACATCTCCTTCCCCCACGGCACATCAGCCCCGACACCGGCCCCGGCCCCGGCCCCGGCCCCGGCGCCACCACTGCCCAGCGGGTCCAGCATCTGGAACGCGTCCGTCTGCGATGGCCTGGGCCTCTCCCCGTGCACTGCAACACCACGTACCGGCACCGCGACCGGCATCGCGACCGGCGGCGTCAAAATTGGCGCGACCTGGAAGTGATTGGGCTGATAGGACTGAGCCGCGGCTTGAGCCATCGCCGCCGGCTGCGCTGCACCCCACGGCGATGGCGGCGGCCCGCACGGCGGCCACACACCGGCGCCGATGGCGGGCGACGTGGCTCGGTAGGCCATGCCAGGTGGCGAGGCCCACGCCGATGCCGGCTGTGACTGGGCACCGAACGGAGCCTGAGCGAGGCCAAATGCTCCGGCTACCGCCAGTACCGGAAAGGCCTGGGGACTGGGGATCGCGGTTGGAGGCTTCGGGAGGTGGGCCGTCGGCGCCGCCTGTGAGAAGCCGGAGGGCCTCGGTGGGTACGGCATTTGGGAGCCGAAGGTGACGGCGGTGGTGATGGCGGTGTGTAGGCCTTGCAGGGCGGCTATATTGGACTGTGTTGAGGCGGCGGTGTACAGGCTCGGGCCTGTAGAGAAAAGAGACGCAAGTGGTTTTTGTGAGTTGAGCTGCAAGCAAAAGACGTTTAATGGATTTTTTTTTACAAAATAAGGCAGGCAATGCGCCTCCTTATATCTGTCCCTCCAAATAAAATATTTTATGCTAATAAGCCAAAGGGCCTTCTGGAAGTGCCATAATTTCAGCAATGGTGGTTCAACACGATAAAAATACAAGCAACCACGCATTGGATGTATAAACAATACTTTTTGTGGTAGGACAGATAAGTGAAGGAGGCATGTTTGTCTGGTTATGTATTTTATTACATTCTCCACAACGATGCTCAGAGACATTAGACCAGATTCATCCACAACATGACTCATCATTACAGGACACTCCTACACAGAGTCGCACACCCCACGTCTAAGACACACCAGTCGAGGAGGCGTCAGCTGAGAACAGATCTGAGCCAAAGAGCTCAAGTGATCCCGGAGTCTGAAACGGAATCAATTAAAACATTAACACAGCAATAGAACATAACACGAAAATGATTTCCGGTTCAAATTAGCATTTACGCATTGATGCTCATCTCTTTACAGCCAAGCCAGTGGTGGAAATTCTACATTCTTATGGCGGGGGAGAATTTCTCAAAAAGACAACCGCAGTTGATCTTCCCCACAGAGTGGTAATCATTTTAACCCCACAGGGTGCAATGTTAATGGACTGGATAGGAACTCGCAACTTTCGAGTTGGAAGCCACTTGCACTGGGCCCCCTGGCTGAATAACAACACAAAGTCTAAGAAAAAGGTTTCCCCCAAATCAATTGAGATCTGTGCAATAGTTGTTCAGCACATCATGGCGCCAGCAACAAAACATCACTATTACAGTTGCAAAAGTTAACACATTCTTGAATAGAGCGCGGTTAATGTTGTAAGAGTTGGAATTCGTCCAAAGTGGAGCAATACGAGGGAAGAAACATAAGAAGTGAGGTGACTTACAGTGTGGAGAGCGGGTGGGTGGGTGTGGTGAGTGGGTGGGTGAAAAGGTTATTGAGTGAGTGGATGAGTGAGTAGCTGGGTGAGTGGATTATTCTGACCTGCAGTGTGGTGGTTGAACACACTTCAGATCGAACAAATCCGTCAGGCAGAACCGAGTCCTCAACCCGGGTAGAGGAATCAATGTGTGAAGTTCATGGGAACAGTGACCATGGTAGTGGCGATAGAAGAGTGACAAGGAGGTGACTGACCACCGGTGCGCTACTATAGAGTGACTGGAATTAATTAGTGAATTACTGTAATAAATCATCATTCACACTGACTGCTCTACTCTATTGGTTAGTCACGTGAATGAATCACAAAACGGAACCTGCATGTGTTGGGAGCCGGCTGCTCGATTAGACACGTTGTTCTTGTTCCTGGGGGGTGGTGTGATGATAGCGGCGGCAGCGGTGGCCGGAAGAGCTGATGATCCGTTACGCAGCGAATCCATGTATCCGTGCGCAAACGGGTTCCCCGGTGCCAATGATGAAAGTGATGATGACGGTGGCAATGATGTTGCGTGTATGTCGGCAAAGGGGTTTACTGCAGGACTCGTAGATGAGGGAGTGGTTTGGGGGGGGGCGGACCCCCACGGGCTTGGTTCGGAGAGAGGAGAGGGGACGTGGTTGTGGTTATCGTTGAAGGAGAACCAAGACGGTGGCTGGGATGAGGCCCTCTGGACAGTGGAGACAAGAGCGTTACCACATAGCTGCCCCCACCACTGCAGCCAGAACCACAACCAGGCAGCAGTACTGGTGATGATAGTAGTAGTTAGTAATGGCACTAGTAGTAGTTGTGGAGGTTGTTGCTAGTTATGGTAGTAGCAGAAGTAACAGTGGCAGCAGTTGTGATGAATGGTAGTCGCAGCAGTTGTGAGCAATGGTAGTTAATAGTCATTGTGAGTGATGGTAATAGTTGTGAGTTATGGTAGTAGTAGAAGTAGTAGTGAGTAATGGCAGTTGTAATAGTTGTAATGTTAGTGGCAGTAGTGAGTAATGGTAGTAGCAGTGGCAGGATTAGAAGTGGCATCCGCACTGGTAGCTCAGCGGTAGAGCGAGCAGTCGCAGGAGGTTGACTGGGGGTCGGTAAAATGAGCACCGCTTTGTTGTTCTGCTGCTGCTCAAGTGAGCATTGAGGCGTTGGTTCTCATCTCCTGTTTACACCCTGTAGAGCCAGTTGTGGAAATTATACGTTCCTATGGCAGGTTCGAGTTTACCCATAGGACAACCACTGCTGACATCTTCACAAAGCAGTACTCATGTTATGATGGGCTGGGTCAATACCAAACCAAGACTTGAACTCCCGACCTTCCGTGCTCGAGCTGCTCGCTCTACCCTGAGTTGCTGCGTCTCGTTTTCACGATGTCGGTCGTAACTGTGATTAGCAACACTGTTAGTGCAAAACTCGTAGTGGAAGGACCTTATTCTCTTACTGTTACAGAGTTATTGTTATTGTGTAGACTATGCGTGCATTCAAAGCAAAAACAATGAACACAAAACTCATTACGACACAATTAGTATTTTTTTCACATGCCATCGTCACACGTCCTTCTGGGAGTCTATTGTTTCAGCAGCGTTCATTCAACACGAGCAAAACTATAGACCGGTGTTGACATTAATTGAAATAATAAAACCATCCGTTATTCATTACATTAACGACTGATGCACTAGACCAGGTGGGAGCCCATCCAATGACAGTGTCCAACATTCAATCAACCGTCCCAAATCAATTTGCAAAGTTATCTAGTTGCGCCGTGTGCTTTTATGTGCGTGCAAAAATGTGTGTATATTAAAGAGTTTGTGCGTGTGTAATTACGTGGGGATGTGTGTGTGTGGAGCAACGATTAGCATACTACGCCACCCCAGTTTAATTCCGCTTCACTGTCAACACCAGTGACTATTATCTGAATCGGTCTTGGGAACTCCCCTAGGTCGACTCAGCCTCAAATATGTACCTGGTGTGATGTGTAAACATTGCCATTGGGGAGACAAAGGCAGCCTGGCGTGGTGCTGACCACCCACGCCCAACTGTCTGTTAAAGGCTATACAGGGGATCTTTGTCTTTGTGTGTGTGCACGTGTATGTGCGCAAGTGTTTGTGTACACGTGTGTATGTGTGCGCATATGTGTGCGTGTGTGTGGAGGAGGCTCGTGAAGGACGCTACTGGTAAGTTGGAGGAGTCCACCCTCCAGCAACAAAGGAGGGCAGAGCAGTGACGCTCACAACGAGCGGCTAAAACACAGCAAGTTGGCACAGTAGGAGGCACAGGTGGTCCATCGGCCAGTCATCTCAGTCAGTCGGCCCATGGCACCTGGGTCTGCCCCGTGACCTACTGCCAGCGGTCGTTCGACACTTCACGTGGCCTTAACGTGCACATAGTCTGACACAAGCACCGTGGTGACGTCACCATCACTTAGTGGCGAATGGCGGTTGTTGTTGTGGCTGTACAGAGCACATGGACTCACAGTCGGGCTGATGCTGATGTCCGGCTGGGTCGACATGACCCCAAACAGATCCAGCTGATCCAGTCCCTAGATTGGTGTAACACGACATCATTAAACAAGTGCAACCCCTTCTAACTTCTCCCACAAAGGGATTCCAATTTTATAATAATTTAATAAGAATAAAAATCTCTCGACTCGCTGGAATCCCATTGGGGCTTTAAAAAACTCACATTCGTGATTTTGTTGGTGTCTTCGTCACGTCCAAACAGTGTCTCTCCACCCTAAGTGAACGGCGCAGGGGACAAATGACAATAGCAGCAGCCACCCAGCAGTAACATGACTACTGATGTTTTACTTAGTCACGCCGTACACACAGCGTTTTACACGCACACAGCAGAGATCAAAACACTGTTGTAGAATCTGTGGTGCCGTGGCAGCTTTCGCACGGAGGCGCCGACAACCAGACAGGCAGGAAGGCAGTCAGGATAGGCGCCAGCAACAACCCAAGCTCTGTGGTCCTATATTTGAACATTTGGCCAACGCAATTAAGAATCAATGTTTATACGTGGTAGGAAACCGGAGTTCCTGGAGAAACCCACCCGTGCGAGGGGGCAACACTCTACCCAACATTAATGAGCAATTGCTACCACAACCTTCTGATTGCGATCTACTCGCTCGTGACTATTTGAAGCCACCAGGACTGTCTTGGCTAAACCAGGGGAACATTGGTTAGGAATACCTACGCCACTCACCTGCATTGTGTCTCCATCATGACTCTGTTCGTTTGGTGTTATCTGGAAAGAAAAAACGAACAAGTTGTGGTAAACGCCCGAAGCGACACGGCTCGTGATACAGTGGATTCAGATTCACCACACGGGTCAACTCTCGTCCTACAAAAAAACAAATCACATGAACTTCACGTTAATCGGGCATTCCAAGTGGGCACAAACACGTTTGTGTTTGCGTCGCCATCGGGTCACGGCTCTTGCGCTGCAGACTCCACAGCTTCTTTGTGGCCGACAACCGACCATAAGTGTTGCTCAAAAAAAGAAGCGGAAAACGGCCGACTGGCAGATACGACGATGGCTCTTACAGGTTGGTTACGCGGTCAGACTCTTGGCACTTGAGACGACGCTGCACTGTATACAGACATCTGTGCAGTTCGGTGACCTCTCAGAGTGTGCTTCCCATGATAGCGTGGGTAGCCTATACTGCGTGTAATTCACGGCCCCCGACACCTGCGTTGTATCCAGCTTTTACTGCAACATGTCTCCTCTACGCGGCTTCACCACGGTTGTGATATCATCCACACACTGCCTGACAATAAATAGTTAAAGGCTATTGCCTGACATGTCAGGCAATAGCCTTTTTATTACCCTGATCGTGGCATTGGCCTCGCGTCAAGACAAATAATCCATGCGGGTAGCTCCATGCGGATAGCTCCACGGGATAGCTCGATGCTGGGTCAGCATCTGTGCCCTCCGAGCAATATAGCCGCCCAGGAGGGCCACAGGTTACACTGTACACAAGGCCGACAGTACAGCAGCCCTGGCTCCGGTGCCCTTCACCTGTTGGAGCCCAGGTGGAACACCTTACCTGCTCAACCCCAGGGTCTTCAACCTTGACCCTCATCTTCAGACCCTGCACGACCTGAAAGAGATCCCTCAAGTCTGCAACCACCGTCTCAGCCTGTCGGAGAGAAGGGGAACAAGAGGACAATACAACATATGGAGAAACGAGGAGGACACAATGGATGGAGACATGACAGAAACACGAAGTTTAGTGAGTGAATAGCAATGGTGCTGCTGGCAACCCCACCCTCAGAAAACTACACCCTCTCAGCTACTAGCCCCACCCACTTGTAACACAGCTCCTCCCACTCATCCAGTAGCTCCGCCCACTACTCATGCAGCCTCGCCCACGCCCATGTAACGAGTCCAGGACATTTTAACTGGCGACAAAATCCTGATTTTCACAAAGAGTTTCGTGGAGAACATTAGGAACATGGCCACTGTGACACCACCGGGACTATCTTGGCCTAATTGGAGAGACGTGTGCTGAGCTCACGCACCGTGGACACTGAGCCCGTAACTTTCAACCCACCAAACCATCGCCAATGGCCCAGGGCTCCTCACCAGCTGCGCCGTTTTGATTGCGTAGAACCGGTGCTGCCCCTCGGCTCCGCACACGAAACCGAACGCACGCGTATCCGTCGAGTCCTTCGCTATGAATGAGATCTTCTCCAGCACAGACTCGTGCTCCACCACCTCTCGGGGGCAGAGGCAGCAGAGCATGGGGGCAGGGTCATGGGGGGCAGGGTCACAGGGGGCATAGACACAGGGGGCAAGACACGGAGCGACAGGCAACGAGCAGAACATGTCCTAGAGGGTGTCCACGAAGGAGATGGAGCGATGACATCGGCTCCTCTTGTGTAGAGAAGGAGCTAGATGGATCGTGAGGGGATGGCGCATCCGCAACCCACCCCAGCAGCGGCCCACTGCCAATCTCCACAGCCGCGGCTCGTTAGTGCTAATTGGTGGGACGAGGGCTCGGCGTGTCGATGGCCGTTTCGTAAAGCAGGCGCCACGTTGTTTATCAGCGAGTCCATTAACCACGTCATAAGTAAAGGCGCAGCACTGAAACTGCTCGCTCACTTTATTGTTGGTGGAAAGGTCTCCACTAGAGGGAGTGCTAGTGTATTGGTTTATTCTTCCACACCAACCAGAAGTATTCAAGAAGTACCTACGCTTTGCCCCACCACAAGTGACCTGCCGATTGACTGCGGTGACACCGGGAGATGGAGTCGAACTGGCCACCTCTGGATCATAAGACCACTGTGTGGATCATTATACCGCTATGGTAGCCACATTTCTCATGTAGCAGCCTTTTATCTAACCATGTGAGAGCAGCGGGGAGAGGGCATTAGTGGGCATTTTGTGTTGAGTGGACCTAGGTGAGGTGCTAATTTCGGGCTGAACAGATCTAGGGGTGGCGCGGACTCACGGCGGACTTGTCATCGGAGATTCGGAGTCCGCTGAGCGACAAGTGGATCACCACCCTCTGTTTGTGCTCCCCGCGGGAGCGAGCGGCCGCGGCAAAACCCTGGGGCCACCACCACCAACACAGCCACACCCGGCAACAGTCAACCACACCAAGGGTCAACCACAGCGAAGGTCAGTCAATAACAACCAGCAACAAGCTGTCGGTCTCTGTGTGACTCTGTGGGTATCGGTGGGCCTCTGTGTGACTCTGTGGGTATCTGTGGGCCTCTGTGTGACTCTGTGGGTATCTGTGGGCCTCTGTGTGACTCTGTGGGTATTTGTGGGCCTCTGTGTGACTCTGTGGGTCTTGTGTGACTCTGTGGGTGTCTGTGTGACTCTGTGGGTATTTGTGGGCCTCTGTGTGACTCTGTGGGTCTTGTGTGACTCTGTGGGTGTCTGTGTGACTCTGTGGGTATTTGTGGGCCTCTGTGTGACTCTGTGGGTTTTGTGTGACTCTGTGGGTCTTGTGTGACTCTGTGGGCCTCTGTGTGACTCTGTGGGTATCTGCGGGCCTCTGTGTGACTCTGTGGGTCTTGTGTGACTCTGTGGGTCTCTGTGCGACTCTGTGGGTATCTGTGGGCCTCTGTGTGACTCTGTGGGCATCTGTGGGCCTCTGTGTGACTCTGTGGGTCTTGTGGGACTCTGTGGGTGTCTGTGTGACTCTGTGGGTCTACATGACTCTGTGTGACTCTGTGACTATGGTTGACTCACCTTCAGCTTCATCATGGAGTCCTGGCAGAGCTTCTCCCCGCGTGAGTCACTCACATCATCCACCCCAATAAGCTTGGCCTTGTGTCGCACGCCGTCGTCACGGAAACGCTGAGCCCTCTCCTCCAGGCCTTTCTCCTGGGCTACTCACAGCAACATGAACACCATCAACATCAGCAGCCTCATCACCTAAACCATCATCCATACCTTCACCACAGTGATTCTGCATCTCATAATTACAATGTTTCTGAATAGCATCATCATCAATATTATAGATATCATGATTATTACCATCACCATGATGTTGCTGAGATGGTTATTAGTGACTCGAGAGAGAGACAAGGAGAGAGACAGTGATATAGAAACAGAGACACACACAAGAGAGAGAGAGGCAGAGAGAGACAGAGAGACCCCGTGATGGTCTCGGAGTGCTCTCATCACCCACAGGTACCACTCAAAGATCACACTGTGGTAAGCCGGCCATTATGTGCCTCTTCTCATGGAACAATTGCCCACTCAGCCTCGAGCTTTGGACACTAGAAAACTGTATTTTTTAAACCAACGCGAGAGCAGGCAGATGAGGAGCAGAAATCTGGAGAATGTAAAGAGGGAACAACCATTCCTACTGTATTGGGCTTCAGCAAAACACTGTGTCCAGGAGACACAGGGTGGCCTCGGCTTAGACACGAAGCCAGCACCGCTGGGAGCATGAGTTCAAGCCCCGGGTCTGGGTGTCTCTGTGAATCTTTGGTTGTCATTGAACGACGACGATGCCAACGATGCCGAGGAAGACATCATCTGCAAGTTCACTCACACTTCTTCTTCGCCGACTTTCTTGCAAAGAACCCGCCCTTCTGATCCGTCTCTCCGGCTGTTCCAGACCCTGCAGCTGAGATTTCGGTTCCTGAAGGCGCGATTCCAGATCCTGGGGCTGGGGCTCCAGACCCTGGAGCCATTGATTCTGATCCAGGATTTGTTCCATATCCATCTCCTGGGTTTTCCACTTGGGCTGACATAACTGGTATTTAAATAAGCGTGTAATTTTTGTTGTTGAATAAAGTGAATGTTCTCGATGATAACAAAATAAAAATTTGTCCGAGGTTTTGATATTTTAAACACAGCTGCTGACCACAGACTCAAAGGGCCAAAACGTCAAGCGGCTTGCAACAAACAGCGCTACCCACGATGTACTCGATATGAGCTTTATTTAACGTTTGTTTTATATTGAATTAAGCCACTAATCTGATTTAAACTAAAAATGCACACGTAACAATTATATGCTGAATGCTATCTTTGAAATGACCCTGGTCATTATTTGAAGCTCCCGTCTGTAAACAAAAAAGATAAACACATGAACATTGAATTTATATTCATCCACTTTGTTGAGTGACATCTATCAAAGCAGACTCAGTACATATTAATATAATTTAGCAAACATGACCAATTAGGCATTGCTGCTCATCTCATGTTTACAGTGCTGCACAGCCACTGGTGGAAATTCCACATTCCTATGACAGGGGTGAGTCTATCAATAAGACAACCACTCTTGACTCCCCCACAAAGTGGTACTTCCTTATCGACCCAGGAGGGATGATGGGCTAAATCCACATCCAACCAGGATTTTAACACAAAACCTCCCACTTGTGAGCCGCTCCCTCTACCGCTGAGCCACCTGGCTGGATACACCGACAGCACAGACACACCTGACTCACCTGGAAACACTCTCACCCGCCTCACCTCCAATAAACACACACCTGTCTCACAGATGACGTTAATTACTGATGAGCGATTAATTATACAAGTGGGTGGAAACTGGAGCCCCTGGGGAAAATTCAAGTGCGCGAGTGGGCATCGCTCTATCCCTATACCGACGGAAACAGATGGCGATGAGCCAACTTGCTACACTGCCTTCAACTAGAGGGCCAGGGTAGAGCACCTCCTCGACACCCACGGAACGGGAGTTTCACAACAAGATCTGTGTGCGATCCACCAACGCTCGCTGCTGCTGCTGCCTCCAGTGCTGGGTTACTACTTCAGAAAGCCGCGTCGTGTAGCAGCGTAGCCACCACCTCTGACCACCTCAAGTCTCATCTCGCTCGGGCTGTCTACGCGCGCCTGAGCTCTCTGAGCGCGCTCACAGCGTAACATACTAGCACAGCGGTCGGGAACCTATGGCTCGCGAGCCATATATGGCTCTTCCAGTGACGGCATATGGCTCCCAGACAATTTTGAGTTGAAAAGAGAACAAAAATCAGTTTGGAACTGATTTTAAAATACTTGTGATATTGCTTAATAATACTGTGTCATTTTAAAGTAAACAGAAATTAGTTTTGAAGATAAATTTCACTTGTATAATACTGTGTCATATTAAAGTAAACAGAAATTTGTTTTGAAGATACATTTCACGGGTCACGCCTGCACGAAGCTCAACCTCACCACGTATGAACCAGACTACAAGGCCATCAGCAAAACCATGCAGCACCAGAAGTCGCATTAAAAGTAAGACATATTTAATTTATTATACGTTAAAAATTCTATATGGCTCTCAATGAAATATATTTAGAAATATTTGGCTTTTATGGCTCTCCCAGGAAAAAAGGTTCCCGACCCCTGTACTAGCAGGTTCAACTCAAGTCCCTCTAGAACCCGATCAGCGCGGCCGCGGGACGCGTCAATCGGACTCAACATTAAGGAATAGGAGGAATTGCCAAAGGTGAGAGTACTTCGAATGAGTGATGTAATTTATACAGTTGAGACTGACACTCGTAATTAGTAGAGATTAGAATAACGAGAGTGGCGGTAATGGAGATTCACTCACCTCTCTCCTGCTCCATCTCCCCTCGTCGTTACCGCTGGAATTTGCCACTCGAAGCGGCACGTGATGAGGGGGAGGGGATCAGTGGGGGCGGGAGGAAGTGTGGGAAGGAAGGCGGGAGATGGGGGAGGGAGGTGGAGTTGAATGGAGGGAGATGATGGGGTAGAGAGGTGGAATTGAATGGATGGAGATGGTGGAGGGAGGTGTAGTTGAATGGAGGTAGATGATCGGGTAGGGAGGTGGAGTTGAATGATGGGAGACGTCGGTGTCGTCAGGTAGAGAAACCAAGCTCGGGGCTCCTCGAGACAAGACGAACGGTGTTGATCATTAACCACTCAGCATCAACCTGCCGCCTCCATAATCCAGTCAATTATTGATCCTGGCCACGTGGGTGATACTCAGATCACTGTCTGCTCCGATATCGTCCGTGGCCGGGAACCCATGAGCTCTGCGCGTAATTCTACTGTCCGTGAAGATGTCTCCAGCCGTCCCTGTGACGATTACTGTAAGGATGCCCCCCTGCCATAGCAATGTGGAATATACACCACTGGTTCTCATGACTGTAAACCGGGCAAAAGCACCGCCCCAATGCCCGTTTAATATATAAAATAAATTATCACAGCTTCAACTCTTCCCATCGCTGTTTGCACGTAAAAAATAAAGTATTGCTTTACACATCTCATCCACATGGCATTCTGGGAGTAGTGCATCTTGTCAGCAGCATTGTCACAATACCAAATAAACTCTGAACCTGCTTTGACATTCAGTGTTGCATGAGCAGACATACTTGCTTAAACCAATCCTGATAAATTGCCAGGATGGTATAGGCAAGGGTCATATCTGTTATATATGGGCCCTAGTTTAACTAAATATGCCCTAGTTCAACAAAAATGTGCCCTAGTTCGACTGTTGATGAGACAATGAATGTCGAAACCGGTCTAGAGTTTGTTGGTATTGAGCATATTCTGCTAAGATACACTCCCAGAAAGCCGTGTAGCTGATGGGATGTGTTAAACAATACTTTTATATTTATATCATGAGTTTGTGTTGAGGTTGAGAAAAGAGACTAAGGGACCGGTTCAGATGCCTCTGAGCATCATCATCAGGGTGCAGCCGGTGAATGTTTGCGCCTGGTGTGTTTTCTGTAGTTTTGGCATTGCTGCTGATAATGATGATGATTGTTGTTGGAGTAGAGATGTTTGTGCGCCCCAAAGGAAATCAGCTGATCGCCACTTCCTGCGTCGCCCCTCAACCCCTGAGGAGCACAACAACATTAATTAATAATTAACTCAGGAATTGGGGGGGGGGGGGGAGCGGTGGCGCAGTGATCAGTGCGCTGCGTTATAAACCTGGCAACCGGCGTTTGATTGCTGGCCACAGCCGACATCAGTGGCTGAGAGTGGTCCCGCACCCACCACAGCAATCGCCGTCCCATCACTAAGTGGTGGTGATGTCATCACGGCGTTTGTGCCAGGCTAGGTACACTTTGAGGCTACGTGAAGTGTCGAAGGTCCGCTGGCAGGACGCGCTACAGACCCAGGTGTCATGGGTTGGCTAGCTGAGAGGACTGGCAGAAGCACCAACTGTGCTCCCCACTATGCCAACTCTGCGTTTTATCCACCGGGCAGTCCGCTCGTTGTGAGCGTCGCTCATCTGCCCTCCGTTGTTGCTGGTGGGCGACTGCCTCCAACTCCCCAGCAGCAGCGTGCTTCACGAAACTGGCTGGTACCAGGTCAAATCAACTCCACATCCTTCTGTACCACATCAGTCCATCTCTTCTCTAGCCTGTGCCGCGGCCATTTAGCCCCCTCTTTCCGGCCAAACAGAAGATGCTTGGGCATGCGGTGGCTGGACCCCCACCATAACCACCAATCACCAACTCGCACTGGCCAACATAGTGAAGTATGGTCAAGAAACCAACACGATCTTCGCACACTCATCCGTGCTGTCGACTCCCTTGCCTCCTGTTCAAATTAAACCTGCTCTTTCTTGCTATCGCATGAAATGCGATTTTTTTTTTCTTTTGACGATTTCTATTCGGTAGTTTTTTTCTGGTCACACAAAATCAATTTGAGACTTAACACTAAAAGTCAGCTCGTGCCACGGGTGCTCGGGAACGCGTGGGCTGTGCTGTTAGCTTAGTCATGTGTCTCTCTTTTTTACGATCAGTGGAAACAAGAAGATGCTCGGTGTATTCGACACTTTGCTTCGATCATCATGTCGTATTTTTTTAAAATTTAAATGTACATTTTAAAACTTTGCTTTATGTAAACCCCCACCTCTCACTCACTCTCTCGCTCGCTCTCTCTCTGGCGAGAAATCTCTTCGTAACACCTCTCTTGGTGAGACATCTTTCTCGTCCGAATTAAACGTTGAACTTTGTAACGCGCCAGACGCACAACGGGGACACGAGGATGACTGGATGAAACAAATTGTAAAAGTTTTAACCACTAAAATATTAACTGGGTTAAGAAGCGATGTGAGCAATGAGTAACCTCGTAAGAGAGCCAATTAAACACAAAACTCTGGTTAATCGGTAACGTCAGCCCGTGCCCTACTCATACGGGTGGCGGTAGTGGTGATGAGTCAGTCTGTGAAGTTGTGTGTTTGTGCTTGGCTGGTTGGGCCTGCGCTCAACAACCGTGAAGTTCTGTACAGTCGTAATCATAAGTGGAGAGGTTTGAGCTTAGATAGTCCCTTGCATGGGCACCCCCATCACTCATAGCACGTGCTACAGGATACGGGGCTGTGCTGCAATGTGCCATTGTTGTACTGTACGATGCTCCCACGTCGCTGCTTCCCCGCTTCACCACCAACCCGCACTGACCAGCGTAGTGACGTATGGTCAAATAATCATCACGACCTGCACCGTGTGGAGAGGCCCTCATCCAGCAGTGGAAAGGCAGAAATATAAATCGGAGATGTCACACTGACATTAACTTATGAGTTGATAATTACTGGGTTTAATTGCAGTTGCTGGACATAGACCCAAATGTTCATAACGCAAAGCGGCCAGCAACAGGCAGCATTAAGTGATATCATGGCATTCACCCGTTCATAGACTTTACGGTTTACGGTTCAAATTTTTTACCAAATTTGAATGACTGCAAAATAGACTCAGTTGGGAACACTACACAGAGCAGCAGATTGTAACCATCCCGCCAAATTTTGGCAGGACCCTGTAGCCATAAAACGAAGACATGATAGGCACCCCGTGTTTGGGAATGGCCCTTTTGCATAGCACAGAGATTGTTACCCTTGCGGTGTTGGCCGTCGGTAACATTGAGGTGGTTATACAAATATTTTCAACAGATGTTTTGTTGTTTAAAGGAAAACTCGACCTAGAAGACACACAGGGTTATCGTGGCGTGGTCACGTGCACACACCCGGGCCGCACGTCTCTGGACCGCTGTCTCCAACACAGAGGCTGAAGCTCGTCAATGATAAACAGGGCAGCTGCGACCACGGCTGTGCAACGGGTCAGCAGCAGGGCACTGGACTTGCAATCCAGCCATCGGGTTGATTCCATCTCCCGGCGCACCAGTTGAAACACTGGATATTGTTTCTTTAATTCCTCCCCAGCCCCACCCCAGAGAGCCTCACTGAATACAAAAACTCTGGTACAGGAGGGTCACGCACTCACGCCAATGTAAATGGGCTCACCACAGTCGATAGGTGAGCGTAAGCGAGCAATTGCAGGCATGTGCCTAAACCTTTTTAATGCGAAAATCTCTCCATTGACTTTGACGTGGACAGATGGACAGGAATACGGACAAACAGACACACCAGTGAACATAGAGAAGGACGGACAGACATCACCATCATCATTACCACAGCAACCGCCACTACCACCGCCATCATCACCACAAAGACAGAGATCCACCGTATAGCCTGAACAGATTGTTGGAGCAAGTGCTGTTAGCGAGCACCTATGAAGGGCGCAAAGGTACATGAGGGGGTCGGTGGCCAGCACCACGCCTGACTGCCTTCGTCTCCCTAGAGGCGATGTCTCACACAGACCCGGGTACTCATTTGAGGCTGAGACGACCTAGGGGAGGCCCAGGACTGGTTCAGATAATCGTCACTGGTGTTGGCTGTGAGCGAGAATCGAACTCGGGTTGCAGGGTTCATAAGCGCAGCACGCTAACTATTACACCACCGTTCCCCACCTCATAACCATTGTGATGCCACAGCGGCAAAGCCGCTCTGCCGGCCCCGCACCCATGATGCCCTCACCACGGAGCGGCCTGGCCGATGCTGCTCTTCCCTCACCACCCCCCACATGAACACACGCACCCACCCCCACATAGAGCCTCGCGGGGAAGTCGCCTGGCCCACAGGTTTTCACCCAGGAGCCCTCCTCGTGGTTGGACATTCTCCACGGTTTTTCCTGAGGCCAGGGGATTGACCGAGGATTCCCCCAGGTTAAATTGCGCTGCGGCGCCGTGAATTAACGTGGAATTACACGGTCACGACGAGGCTACTCAGCCCCCGCGGTTAAAACACACGCAACACAGAGGGGTTAGCAGGCAGGTAGGGGGCGGAGCCACGAACGGCGGGAAACCAGGGCAGACACTCTGATTGGTTGGGAGCTTAGTGGCATTCCCTTTGATGTGGAGACCTGGATGCGGACGGCGCTGAAAGCACCGGTCCGAATAGAACTATGGTACAGACGAGCAATTTGATTGGCTGGGAAGGCCATCGGATCAGCGACGACTTTTCTTTGATGTGAAGCACAATAAAATGTGAGGGAAGGTGGAGATAGAGTGGGTTTGCGTCCAGCACAAGCCAGCAATCGGCCGACTCTCCAGCCACTCGAACGTCCGTGTGACGAGTCGCAGTGCAGCAAGGACTGGCCCGCAGGAGCGCCGCACGAATTGAACTGTGAGTGCGAGAGAGAGAAACAGAGAACGGCGCGGTAATTTCTCGAGAAGATAAGTCGAAAAGGTCGGGAAAGATTGGGTTTAGACCATCGGGAACCAGTTAGTAACCCCACTGATTTCGCCGAGAAAAAATTGGTAGTGACCTACAACAGTGTCGTGTGGTTTCACCGAGTGTGGGGAGAGCGTGTAGTGGCGTGTGTACGTTCGTCAGGACGCGGAGATTGGCGCGTGCCCAACTATATCGGGGCAACCATCGTGCAAGAGCCTGACTCGCGCATTCGGTCGAGTACCGCGACCCGTGTAGCCAAGTTTGCGCGCAAATCCTGTCGCCAGCCTTCATTATTGTGTGGAAAAGCCGGGGGACGAGTAAACCATTTATTAACTTCCCCAGGGTGCAGTAATACTCGTGTTGGTGCCGCTGGCCCCCAAGGCCTCTC